TTTTTTGCTTTTCGCCGTAGCCGTTGCAAAAACTCCCTATTGTTGTCATCCAGAAATTTTGCTACCATGGTAACGTGACACTTCTCTCTATTGTAATGATGCTTCAAGGTACTTTTAATATAAGAACGTTGAAGCTTTAAGGAGCTTTTAAGATAAATTTGATACTTTAAGTCGAGATTAGGGTTATTCATTTAATGCAAACGGTGCAAACGTCAACTCAAAGCGAAGTCAATATAAACATGAAACTATATTTTTCCCGCCTTCAATGCTTTTGTTGCTGGATTCGGTTCTGAATTCAGATAAAAACCCAACCAACACAGTAAAATCCAGGAGGAGCAGGGAAGTATTACTGAACAATTTGGGCGGGGACTGCTCTTTTTCTAACCAAAAATGTGATTTTTACTTTTAAAGAACAGTTGTACTATACGGAAATGATAAATTCCAGATGCTCAGGTCCCGCTTCCAAAAAGAACAACTGAAGAACTGACTGAAGATCCAAGTCCTTCAAATCTAGCCTTGATTTCAGACCAAGAGAGACCAAAACTGATCGCGCTTATATAGCTCATATCCTCCCCCGTGGCCCCCTTCCCCTCGAAAGTAAAAGACTACAGAACGGAATCTTATAGCCTCTCTTGTATGTTTATTTGCAGAACTCCAAAAGCACTCTAGGTAGCCAAAAACAGGTTTTTGAAAATTTCATTTATTATTCACCGAGATTAAAACCAATTTTAAGGTGGTCCTATTCAGTTAAGCCTCATTTTCTTACTTGGGCTCCCTTGCCTCATCTTTTATTTTTAAATTTTATCTATATATTTAACTTGTATGGCAAAATGATAATAAAACAATAAAACAAAACAATATTTAGTCCAAGACCTCAAATCCATGTTGACAGAAGCGTTTAAAATTGAGGTTGCAGTGACAGCTCTTTGTAAATAGATTTAGCGACTACACTAGGTCTCTTTTTACGCCCTGTGATTGGCTAGAACCTATGTCCGTTCATTGTTCGAACCCAATCGTAATTCGCTTGTTAAGTTTGTGCTACATTATATAGTAAAAATGAAAAAATCAAAGGGAACGAATTTCAGTCATAACTAGTTCGTTGTTTAGTCTGTTTGTTTTGAAATTACATTAAACAATAATTTTAGTTTTTTTCTTGCTCTAAACCAGGTTCTTTTACTTTGTTTAATTGTTATATTTGTGACATCGTTCGTGAATCTCTGAAATATAGGAATCAACTTTCAACTCTAAAATTTGAAGTTGCGTAGTAATTACTACTTTTATTAAATAAGCACCTTGCCTATACGGTGGCCCACAACGGCAATACACAAATATCTATTATATTACTGCATTATATATCTTAGTACACAAACATATTCATTGGCTGCGCGGGTATATTTACCAGTACAATAAAATATACAACAGTACAACAATACTGTATCCCAGTACAGAAATGTTAATTTCAGTACAAAAATATAAACTCCAGTACGGAAAGATATCCCCAATTCTTAGTACACAAATAACAGCTCCAGTAAAAAAAATATCAATCTCTCAGTACAAAAACATAAGTTCCGGAACAAACATATTCATCGGTTGTGCGACTAGATTCTTCAGTACAGTAAAATTCATGTATACAACAGTACAACAATATTTATCCCAGTACAAAAATATAAATCTCAGCACAAAAAAAAAATGGAAAGAAAAATATAACAATAGTACAACAATGTGTATCCCAGTACAGAAATGTAAATTTCAGTACAAAAATAAAAGTTTCGGTACAGAAAAATATTTTTTAAAAAATTGGAAAAAACCGGTAGGTACCTTATATACGATTATTACTATGTACCTAAATATATATGCTTATTATAGCATACCTAAACAAACCTTATATACTTCATTATTGTAAATTATCTCGACTATACAACACTAAACACCACCTTACACCTCTATACCACACCATGCATCACCATCCAACATCATGCACCCCTTAGACCTCACCAAATACCTCTAAACATACACCCATTTATAACACCATGCTCCTCCATACTTCACCATATACCTCTATACATCACCATACACCCCTATACATCACCATACATCCATGTATAACGCCATGCACCTCTATACCTCACCATACACCCATGTATAATACCATGCACCTCTATACATCACCATATACCTCTTTTCATCACCATACACCTCTACTGATCACCATACACCCCTATAGATCACCACACATCCATGTATGACACCATACAGCCCTATACATCACCATACACCCATGTCAGCACCCATGTATAATACCATGCACCTCTATACATCACCGTATACCTCTTTTCATCACCATAAACCTCTACAAATCACCATACACCAATGTGTAAAACCATGAACCCCTTACATCACCATATACCTCTATACATTACCATGTACTCTCTATACATCACCTTACACCCCTATACATAACCACAGACCTCTACACATGACCATTGTATACAAGTGTATGGTTATGAATAGGAGTGTAAGATGTTGTATAGAGGTATATGGTGATGTATAGGGGTTCATGGTTTTATACATGGGTGTATGGTGCTGTATAGAGGTGTATGATGATGAAAAGAGGTATATGCTTATGGTGTTATACATGGATGTGTGGTGATGTATAGAGGTGTATGTGAGATATAGAGGTGCATGGTGTTGTACATGGACGTATGGTGATGTATAGGGGTGTATGGTGTGTCATAGAGTTGTAAGGTGGTGTTTAGTGCTGTATAGTCGAGATAATTTATAATAATGAAATATAACTAACTGATGTCTAGGATGGGGGTTAAGCTTAAAAAGCCACCCCAAATGTCCCACACATGTGGTACATCTAAGCCATGCCAGAGTGCTCAAACTAGCGAGCTAGCGAGCGTGCGCAATTGCTAGCGGCAATGACGCATCCTAGTAGAGTGCTCAATTTGGACATGAAAGCAAAATCTTTGTAATGCCAAAGAGCTATATCTAACTGCAGACAGTACTGTTTCGGCCTTCTGGGCCTCATCAGTGCAGTGCTGATGTCTAGGATGGGGGTTAAGCTTAAAAAGCCACCCCAAATGTCCCACACATGTGGTACATCTAAGCCATGCCAGAGTGCTCAAACTAGCGAGCTAGCGAGCGTGCCCAATTGCTAGCGGCAATGACTCATCCTAGTAGAGTGCTCAATTTGGACATGAAAGCAAAAGCTTTGTAATGCCAAAGAGCTAATAATGAAATATATAAGGTTTGTTTAGGTACACTATAATAAGCATATATTTAGGTACATAGTAATAATCATATATAAAGTACCTACCGATTTTTTCCAATTTTTTTTTTAAATATTTTTTTGTACCGAAACTTTTATTTTTGCACTGAAATTTATATTTCTGTACTGGGATGCACATTGTTGTACTGTTGTTATATTTTTCTTTCCATTTTTTTTTTTTTTTAATTTTTTGTACCACAACTTTTATTTTTGTACTGAGATTTATATTTTTGTACTGGGATAAATATTGTTGTACTGTTGTATACATGAATTTTACTGTACTGAAGAATATAGTCGCACAACCGATGAATATGTTTGTTCCGGAACTTATGTTTTTGTACTGAGAGACTGATATTTTTTTTACTGGAGCTGTTATTCGTGTACTAAGAATGGGAGATATCGTTCCGTACTGGAGTTTCTATTTTTGTACTGAAATTAACATTTCTGTACTGGGATGCATATTGTTGTACTGGTGTATATTTTATTGTACTGGTAAATATACTCGCACAGACAATGAATATGTTTGTGTTCTAAGATATAGAATGCAGTAATATAATAGATATTTGTGTATTGCCGTTGTGGGCCACCGTATGCCTAGCCTTGTGTTTGCGATCATTCCGAATTACAAGGACATTGTATCAATGCAAATTTAAAAAATAATAATAATAATAAAATGGAACAATCCAATGATATAAAAAGATGGTTAAGTTTGTCTGCTCAATTCATCGATCCAAATCATAACTAAGCAGGTGACCTTATATTACCATCACCGCGAAAAAAAAAAAAAGAGTTTGTCTCCGAGCATTTACAGCAAAATCGAACATATTTCCACGTTTTGAAAGAGAAAAAAATATATAAATAGTCCAATAAGATTAATAAAAATACAGCCCTCACTCAGTGTCTGCGATCGTTTCGAATTACAAGACGCTTGTGTAAATGCAAAATGGAAATAATAATGGTAATAATAATAATAATAATAATCTCAATGACGTAAAAAATAATCAAAAAATCATCGATTTAAATCATATTTCCATTATTGCAGAAGAATTCACATTGTCTCCGAGCCTTTATGGCAAACTCAGGCATATTCAAAAAAGTATTGCTCATCCCTGACTGTAAATAACACGAGTCAGTAAATCATACGTAGTGTAATAAATATTGGGCGACATTGTTGTTTATGTTAAGAATAGCTTGAGTGAGAAATCTCGCGAGTTTTTTTAGAATGTGAACACGTTTAGCAGTGAGAAAAGATTACAAAGCCAAATCCTCAAACTTGACACATATTTGCTACTGAAATTAAAAACACCTGCTGGTTTAACCAATTAACGTCCTTTTGATGGTCAACTGAAGTTTTCATAAAGACTTTTCTAGAAAATATGGTGTAATGAATTAGAAGAAGCAATTAGCTGAAGTCAATCTAACTACCAATCCCTCCCTAATTATCACAATATTCACGATTAGATCTCAAGTTAAAGATCTTATCGAGTCTCAAATTTTTAGCAACTTTTAGATTAACTTTGTTTAAAAATCATTTAAAATTGAAAATTCTAACATCTAGAACAAAAAAAAAACTCTGTACTTTTCTGAATTGAAAAGATGTTGCTTCCTTACAATTATTCAATTTGTCATTTAATATGTACGAAGTGACACCAGCAAAGCTGGGCAAAAAATGATGATTTTTTACTTAAATGAAACAAACAGTTTCTGAATTATTTATGACTGTACAACCTCATACCGTTAAATATATTTTAACATATTATCTCTGACTAAAACTACTGTCTATGGCGTTCTGTCGAGAACCTCGAGTCCAAAACTTCAAAAGATGTGGAAATGATTAACTTCTTGGAACAGTAACATGAAGCGAGCCATCTCCAAGAAAGGCCAAATGTATGAATAAGGTGAGTTTTTATTAATCAATATGATGCCTCGCAAATGACAACAAGCCTGAGATAATTTTACCATTTTTTGAAACGTCGAATTGCGAATTAAATATTGCCATCTAATTTCGAGGAAACAGTGATTGTTTTGGAAGAACAATGTTTCCTAGTAACCCTGAGTTTTAATATATCTACCTTAATTAAAACAGCGTTTCTAAAAAAGACAGCCACAACCTTTTACCACTAAAGTTCCGGGCTTACTGCAGTCTCCATCCATTACCTAACATCATTTCAAGCTAGTATCTTATTGCGCGAAGTTTCTTTCCGCCGTATTTTCCAAGTTATTCCACTATATTTGGGATCGTTAGTTTTGCTCTGGCTTGCGAGTGACGGACCAATTATTAGAATCATCTATGACCGAAAATTTATTCTTCTTTCTCTTTTTTGCTTTTCATACCTTTGTTTTAAGATCAGAAATGAATCTCTCTTTTATGGTCGCTATATCTTTTAGGGCATACTATTTTAAGATTAATTAAACTGCGGTTGGTTTTTAAGTTAAGTAATCGGGCATATATGGGAAATATGGTATAGTTTCATTAAGACCAATTTTTTAACCTTACTAGCAAGCCAAAAATATTTTCATGTAGGGAGACCCACTGAAACATTTTCAAGGAAAAATAGGGAAAAACTATAAGTTCATAAGCTGTCAAAACCATCTGTAATGGTTTTTCCGCCGCATGAATTTGGGGAAAAAATGTATATACAATATTCTCTCTTGATAAATTTTGTGCTCAGTTCTTCTCTTAAAAATTTACAAGCATGAAGACTAACGGCTGCGAGCATGAATAGGGCACCATTTTATCACTTCAACATGTCGTTCGAGCAGCCAATATAGAGCGTTTTAACTAAAAGCAACTGGCAGCTGTGTTTTTTTATTGGCACGAGATTGACTTGGTACTGATGCCGATATGGTTTCTGATTCGTGGTTTTCGTTACAAAAAAACTAATTTGTCTAACTTGACAGCACTCGAAAACGCTTCATAGCCCACGCTGTTACAGATCAGAATTGTTAACTTTTAAGATAGAAACATGAAAGTTTGTCAAACTACTACCAACCCTAAGACTAACATTTTTGGATATGGATCCAACCCTAATTCACCACTGGACACGAGTACTGCGCAAGCCCTAAAATGGCCCACGTGAAAACAGCAATAATTTTCCTTATTCAATGCACATATGTGAACGGCCAAATGTAGCAGGTTTGGTAGACAATCAAGCTACCGCTATATATCCCCAAGGAAGCGAACTTAAAAAAAATTGTCTCACATACAATTCGTATGAAAGCATGTCTAAATAAAATTTCCCAGTGTTTATTTTCTCTTCGTTTTCACCACATAATTACAGCGAGGCAAACAAGTGGCGGATTCAGTTTGCAGTTAAAATGGCGTTTAAACGTTCGATTAATAGAGCTTTTTCACACACGTGGCCAGCAGCTATGCAAATTTGTTTGAACAAAACACAGTTTTTACCTTACAAAAAAGGATCAACTCCCACAGGACTGGTTTGAGGCACCGAAATGGCAGCTGTTTCATGGTCTTGGGACAACAATATGCGTGACGTCGTGCGAAAACGCTTTACTTTTATTTGACAAGCTCTTTGCATGTTCAAACAATAACAGCGTCAATAATGCTAAATGTGCCATGAAAGGAGTACTTTAGAAAACTTTAACTCGGTTTCGAGCAGGACAAGGTCATAAAGGCCAGAATGTTGCAAGCTATAGTTTACTTAAAAAGTAATTGCGGCTAGTACGCAATAAAAGGAAAGAGAGATCGTAGTCTACAGGTATATGGTAAAAAAAATTTCAGTCACCATCTCGGTGTCTTTTGAATGAGACAGCGAATTCTTAATGTTCTTTTAGTACAAATGTTTATCTCTACTTTGAGCAGAAAAACGTTTTTTCCTACGGTTGGCTAATGCCTTGAATTTAATTTAGACGCGGTGAATGCATATTCAAGAGAAACTTATTTTTCAAATGACATGCGATTATTATGTTTGCTTGCATGCAGTAATATGTCAATATCGAAATCTAAATATACAAGAAAACGTTAAATTGCGCTATTTTATGTCTTATATAAACCCAGAACAGGTTGAATTTGCAATCGCTCATTTAGGGAACCTAAAAGCTCGATTCAATGTCTTCATATCATCCCCAAAGCTTTATATGAAAAATCGTTTACTGATTTTCCAGCATGATTCCCCTCCTATCATAATCTCACATGGCTTGCTGAAGTTGTAACCACTTACATAGAATTCACCTATACACACGAGCTGTATTTCTAGAATGGAATCTTATTCGTAATAAAACTAGCTTTTGATAAGCCAAAGTTTCAAGGACGTGCTTAGAGAACGTGAGAATTTAGTGTTAAGATCTTTTTGCTGCCAAATAATAACACTTTATTTATTTATTTATTTTATTTTATTTTATTTGCCACACAATAATTACAAAAACTAAAGGAAAAGAGAGAAAAAAACAAGTGGCGAGGAGACCTAACAGAAACTATGGAGCTTATGACTCGAGGTTAGGCCTCCTCGATCTAGAATTAGAGAGTTATGTAACGTAGTTTTTGTTGCACTATTCAGAAATAGATGATTAAAGAGGTAAAGAGATCATGTGACCATACGCGAACTAGGGCTTCGGAAACTTTAAAACATTTCTTTGCCAAAAAATTTCGTTCTTAATTGCTCAAATTGTCTGTTTGTCATACCCCCAAAGAAAGAACTTCTATAGTGAATATTTTAGACTCTAGTTGTCAAGGCGCTATAAAAAGATAATTAATTTCCTCCAAAACACCGATAATTTTCCTCGCATATTCTCTATCAAAGTACAATATATTAACAGCTATGTAAACATTATCATATTTTGCCGTCTGTTAATTTGCGAACGTTTAAAAGGGCATGTTTCATTTATGCTTGTTCCGGTTGTTTTGTGCCTTGTTGTGAGATGTATTTAAATTTTTGCTCGTAATCGTAATACAGTATTGCCTCTTCAATTTTCCTGCATGACTTTCATAACTTAGCAACTACGGTAATTGAAAATACGTAGTGTAAGTAGTGTCAACCAGCAGAGACGACAGCAAAAAGGCCAGGTAATTAGAAGCAGAAACTTATTACTAATAGAAGTCGTAATTCATGTATAGCGTAAAGAAAACTGTCTACCTCGCCCTGAGCGGATTTTTCACTTACAGACTCAATCTCAAAGTCTTTAGACGCTGTACCATTACATGCAGACTACTTACAATTACACATTACAACTTGTTTTTCCATATTTTGCGATGCAAATTTGTAAATTTCTTGTAGTTTTATTAGCATTTGGCAATCATACAGAGTGAAAGAGTTAAGGAGGTTTTCAAGTACTATAATTAATCAACCAACAACACATGTCGCTAGCATAGCCGAGCAATTAGTCGCGTCTGTTTTTTTCAAAGCTTATAATAATTTCAATTACACTTGACTTTTTTCAAGATATCTCAGACATTTCGTCGCCGCTTGTTCTACTTTCAGAACAGACAACAGGCTTGCGGACATCATTTTAAACTGGAAATGGGAGGGCACGTCTTGGTTCTTGGAAAGGTTCCCAGGTTGTTAGCCGCTACGCTTTTCTTGTACTTGTCTACGATTACTCCTTTCATTCAAGTGGTTGCAAATAAGCGGGGAAAGACATTAACAATAGGAGGCTTTTATGCATCTGGTGAAAGGACAACTTTTCAGAATGCTTCAGGTATCCTTAAAACAGTGGAGCAAGCTCTTAGATTCATCAATGAACGATCACAAATTCTACCTGGTTACAAGCTTGATATCAAATGGCGGGATACCAAGGTAGGCTGTGCTTTGTGATTTTTAAAACATGCGACAGATAGAGTATATGTATGAAATGTTTGTTTTTGGCCATGACGATATTGAAATTTTACCATTCAAGCCAGCTGGCTTCATTTGAATATTGAAAGCGAACTCTTGACTTCAATACTTGATCCGGATTCTAAATACTAAAAGTTGAAGCTACCCTATGTAGCAATATAAACAGTACCATAGGGCAACGCTAACTTAGAATCCAATTCAAAATATGAATAGTAATTGAACTGAGTCATTAATCTAAACTAAGATGACTACCATCCATCTGCCCATTTAAAACTTCAGGTCGTTTCTTTCACTTTCCATTTTATAAACAGCTGGCAAAAAACGAAAATCTTTTTTTAGTCCTTCTTACGTGGGTCATGCTTTTTTTTACTTCCCATCGATGTTTTATCTCGAGTTAGCAGATTTTTATTATCTCCTCAACCTTTTTCATCTGTTCTTATTTCCTAACTGAAAGTCTAGTGATCCGAAAATTATAGGGATCAAAACTGACTTTTCGAAAATTTCAGCCAGAAAAAAAGGTTCCCGAAAATTCTAGGTGACCTTTTAGGGTAAAAAAATCCGTTAAAATGGGCAATTATACCATTTTTTAGATGTTTGAAAATCCTAGGAGAGGAAGGCAAGCAAGAAAGTTTACAACAAAAATTCTGAAAATTCAAGATCTCAAATCGTCTTCCGAACAGATATTTTCCAAAAACTGACGTTGGGTGCCCCTGAGTTGAGTTCTCTTGTTTCCATGAATTATAACGGGGAAAACATTTTACATTTTCATTTCTAAATACGGCTACAAAATGGAACGTAAGGTACTCGGTATTGTAAAGTTCTTCGCTTACTAGCTTTGAAGCAAAATATCTTTATCCCAGGCGTTTTTTCCAAGTCAAACTTCAACAAAAAAGACGTGCACCAAGTTTGATACTTGACGAATGAAACGTGCAGATATTTGACTAGCTGGAAGAAAAATGAGTGCATTATCTATAAAACAATCAAACTCGGAACTCAGTATTTGACCGGTTAATCATGCCATTTTTCAGGAACCTATCAGTCTTCGGCCCAATGGTATCCATATTCACTTCTTCACACCCTAGAGCGCCCCCTCAATGTCACGCTCATGTCTTACTTAAGTTTATTATGGGCAGGGTAAAACCGTTAGTGTAGTTGGGCGTTGTTCTGTTCTAATATGGTAGAATGACGTCAGTCTAATAGCGGTAATGGACTTTTATCACTAATATATGAGCACCTGTCATACACAGTCAATATATGCCCGCAACTGGGCTGATTGGGAATGCTATGGCCAATCAGAGGGGGCAGGGAAAGCGTAACTGGGCTAATCCGCACTCGAACGAGACACTTGCAACTGCTGCCAAGCGCGGGAATTTAAACAAATGCGACCAAGCCGCATATGCAGTGGAGTCAATAGGGCGGGGATGATTTACATGAATATCATGAAGGAAAAGTATTACCACCACTATTCTAGAATAAAGTTTATGGCGCCTAACAATGGTCTTATTTTACGCGACGGCTTATTTTAATACTTTTTATTTTTTTTAGTGCCAAATGGGACCGGGTGTCCAGGCGTTATTTCAGCATATTAACGAGCCACCGACAAAAATCATGCTTCTTGGAGGAATATGCAGTACAGCTACCTTGCCTATCGCCGAGTGCTCACATCTTATGAATCTAATACAGGTATAGTACATTGAAAGAAACAGAGAGGGTAGCGTGCAGCACGCGCGTGAGCAGCGAATTCGGACTCGAGTCAGCAGGCCGTCCAGCAGGTTAGAGTCTCTTTCTGACAACTAGCTGGAAACAGAGCACAAATGCTTTTAAGAGCCAATGTCTGTAATTTTCGAGAATCGGTTGACAGTCGTGAATTTTTGAATTTCTTCATATTTTGCCCACATAATCTCTATAGTACACTTATTTCAAAAATCACGTTAAAACTTGTAACGGCTTTTTATTTTTTCCTGAATCGGGCAAAGTATGAAAAACACCACATCGGCGCTCTTTCGAGTATGAAATTAGCGAAAATTAAGCATTTTCTTCGCGCTCGTACATAAAAAGGGGACGATATCTCTAAATGAAATCAAGTCACAAGGAAAACACAGACTTGTACTTTATAATTCTGCAATTATCTTTAGATAAGCTGTTTAAATGTGACTGTGTTGGCCGCAAGAAGAAACACGATTTCGCCTGTTTTCAAAAATGGCAAATTTGACCTAACTTCACCATCGAAAAAAACAATTGATACACGGAATTTCAACATGAAACAAACACTATTTTAAAGCACATCCTTTGCCGTTTCTTGTGTTAAAAAATTTTTGGCGGCATTACAAAAGTGCGTCGCTGAGACACAGAAACGTGCAGCGTATTTTCTCTCGTTGGAACGCTGAAAACAAGCTAGCCGCGAGTGTGGGTACACAAAAGTTTTTGCTAACTTAGCTTCTTTTACAAGGGGCAAATTACGGGAAGCTCTTAAAATCTTTTGAAAAAGGCTTTTCAATTTGATGGTTATCAAAAAGAGCTAAGTAGATTAACACTGCATTTGATTGCACGCAAGTAGCTGAAAAAGACAACGCTGTTAAGTTCTCATGGAGTGTAAATGTTGACCTCGAGTTTCTGCACCTAAAATGAAGCCGCTAGAAACGGCGTGCTAGCTCTAAATGGGATTCGAGATCTCTAAGAATTACTTACCACAGTCGTTTCAATCGCAAGTCGCCGCAGTTTACTCATAGGCGTACGGGCAATTTTTTGCCAGGGGGGGCGGTAATCCATTTGCCCAAAAAATTGTTGCAAGTTGCCCAAATTTTTACAAAACAGTCGAAAGGAAACTAGGGCCATGCAACAAAATAGGCCGTACTGGCATATGAAAGTGGCTCGATAAAGTTTTTCAGAGTCAATACCTGCCAAGTTTGAGCATAAACTACGTCGCCACAAACAAGCATTTGGAAAAAATTGCCTCCACAGTTGCATTAGATAAAGAGGGAAATTTGTCATGATCAGGATTGCAATGACATCGGAGCTGTCATAGCAACGACATGACGCCATTACCTATTATACTTGCAGCAATATTTCTCACTGGGAACTGTTCTTACAAAATCTTTCAGGGGAGCTCTTTCCTCCAATAGTCGCCTCAATGTTCGTGAAGTTAAAACGGAACTGTAAGAGCGTTATCGAGATATTTTGGGATGAAGTTTTTATTGTTAGAAATAAGGTAAAAAGGGAAAATGTTGATGTTTAGTCGTAATCTGAAGAAAACGGAGCGCTTTTGACATGCAATTTCACCTCACAGTAGTTTCAATCTTATTAAAAACGTGTTTGAAAGATCATGGAGATAGCTCCTGCCAATTGCTATAAGGAAGGATTTGATTAGCGCTCGATCTTGTTAGGGGTTTCGTAAACATTTCGGTCTACTTAAACAAATTAGTGAATAATTTTTAAACCCCTCGATAGATTTTTTTAAGAAAATTATGATTCTTCTCGTAATTCAAACTGAGAATTAGTCAGCCACTTCACTTTCAGACCCATTGCTGATGCGTGTTCTGCCACACACTGTTCTAGGAGCGGAGGTGATTCTAGAAAGTTATGCGGAAGTTTATTCTAATCAATTCATGACTGGAAATAGCCCACTCCAGCTAGTAAAGTGAAGTACAGTGCCCAACAAAGCAAAAAAATCAGCATATGATACCCTTCCCTTATAACCAGAAACTCATCACGTGCTAGGCAAACACTGTCTCGTGTGAACGTAACTGAATTATTACGCCGACCTCTGGTTAAAATAGAAAATATTTATCTCTTCAAAATAATAATAATAATAAGACGTGGAAACGTCTTTAAAAACTGGCTTTGCCCAAATTTTCTCTTGCTGCCCAAAAAATCTGAGTTGCCCAAACTTTGGGGGGGCTGCAGCCCCCCTCGCCCCCCCGGCCCGTACGCCTATGTGTTTACTGAAGTCTTCCGTCGTTTAGCCTCGGACTAAACCCTGTGATGCGTGATGAAAGCCCTTGTGTAATTTGAGTCTGGTCACGCAACTGTACAGAAAAGGATAAATCATCGCACGAGTGTACAAGAAAAAAATAAAATGACAATTAACACTGTTTTTTTAGTTTTATATTTTATATTCCCAAAACACGTGGAACTAAACTTGATTTTAGGATGTCACCAGCCGAAACTCAAATAGAGAGAGAAAACAAATAGAGTAAGCCGAGTCTGCAAAACTTTTCACACTAGTTTTCCTTCATTTACACTTAGCCTTCTGAGCCTTTGCTTGTAATAAACTAATCTTTACCCCGCTTAACGTGTAGACTTCTTTATCGATCACCTCAGTATGAATTGAGGGATTTAGGGACACACGTACGCCATATGCAACATGAAGGTAGAGCAGGGGAATGGAAACGAGTAAAACTGTTTAAAGAAAATTGGCCAATGCTCCGCAAAAGAACATTCCTGTAAACCACAAATCGACAATGGACAATGGACACATTTGATGAGCGAAATACAAGTATTTAACATGTTTAAATTACTGAAAGTAGTATTGCTTTGCTCCTCTGCAGCAAGGGCATCTTCTGGCGAGACCTTAACCTGCTGTTGACGAATTGTCCAGTCTACACAGTATGGAGTTAGACCAGAATGCACGTACTGCTAGCTCCCGCCTGAAAAAAGGAATAGTCACCTGGCTCTGTCCGCGACCACCCCCCGGCACTTGTTCGCAGGCTAGAAATAAACCAATTCACTGACAAGTTCTTTTTCATAACTATGGTGGCCGACAACTGCCATTTGTCAAAACGACATAAATTTGTTAATTTTAGATTGAACTTTAATTATTTTGAATTGAAAATAAAGCGAAAGTAAAACGTCAAATTATTTTGTTTTTCATTGAACTGGAAATAGATTAATTTTGTTAATTTTCAAAACAAAACAAAACATTTTTATTATGAAATGAAAATAAAAACAAAAGTGAAATAGAAGCAGAAGTGAAACTAATTTGTTCACGGCCGGGAACAGCCATTCAAAACAGAAAAAGTAAAATTATTATGTTCGCGGCCGGGAACTGCCATTCAAAACAGGAAAAGTAAAACTAGTATGTTCATGGCCGGGAACTGCCGTTCAAAACAAACAAAAAGTAAAATTAATAGGTTCATGACCGGGAACTGCCGTTCAAAAAAAAAAAAGAGAAAGAAAGAAACCTAAGACTTTTGGCGGGAGACGATAGTCTTCCTCGCAGCCGCTCGGGCTGGGGTCACCCAATTCTCCCCGCTGTCATACATTCCTTTCCCACTAACCTCGTTCAGTTAAGTGTTGACAGGCTAAATTCGTTCCCAGGTTGTCTCTCCGTTGGAGAGAATCCTGGGAACGAGGTTGCCTTTCTAGACGTCGACGGTTTGTTAAAGCTACAGAGGTTTTTTAGCTCATGGATGACGTAGTCATGCCATGGGCTTTTGGAGACACTCGAATGGCATTCGACCACTCACTCACTCACTCACTCACTCACCCACTTACTCACTCATTCACTCGATTCTTATTAATTTATTCATCAAAGTCAAATTATACACTTTACTCTTACCTCCCTTACTTAACATTACTTTTGTTCAAAGTGCCTTTTACGCATATGTTTGGCATATTCTAGAGGGTACTAGTAAGGCGTACATTTTTTCCCGACACAAAAGAGTAGCCAGCCGAAGATGGGTTTTGTATAAATGGAAATATTCTAATGAAAACTGAGAATATCATATGTAAGAAATGGACTTGGAATTGTTAAAAGGACGTTGAAATAATTGAGCGCGGATCACTGTTGTATATTTGGACGAATTGTGCGCATTTGTTCCGCGATATTACTTGATATGGAGAAAATGCGATCGACAGAGTGTGAAAGAGCTATCGAAGCCTGACGATGTGATTTCCTTCAGCGAAAAGCAAATAAGCCAAAGAGTGACCAAAGAGCCTTAGCTGCAAAAAACGGTCCTCGAATTGTAAAGCGGCGTTGATGTTTACATGAGAAAGCAAATTATTTTACAACTAAAAAGAGTTAATAAGCTTAAGGTGATCTTTGCGTTATTAAAAGAAATGCTGCACTGATAACAAGGTTCTAGAATATTCAGGTGCACATGCAATCGGATACTTACAGTGTGTCGGGGTTTGAATTCCTAAGGTCAGAACAAGTGCAGCTTTGGACAAGGATCTAACTCCCTTAAATGCGTGAGTGCTATAGAGATGCCAACAAGTTACTATAGAAATGCTGACGAAATGCTTTTTAAAACAGACAATGTATGCCAAAAAGTAGATGCCAAAAAACAAATGCTAAATACCGTATGCCAAAACAGATGCCAAAAATAAAATGCTAAAGAAAGGTAAACATTATCTATCAAGTAACCAACACACAAAGAAGGTCATGAAATATAAAAAAAGAAAAAACTAAGGAGAAAGTGAATATGTTACAGTGCCCAAGCAGTTTAAAACAAATGAGTTTCGAAATGGAATGTTTCTCAAGCCTTCAAAGTTACTATAAATACAGAGGTGATAATCTTCAACAATAACGAAACTCAATCACGAAATTCCAGAGCAGTGGCACTTAGCACCCATGCCCGTTTACGATTCAATTCATCCATGAGCTTGCTCCTAGGAGCCTTTGATCTAGTCTACTTGCGTAATGACACAAAGAACGGCACTTTCCGGCCATGAACATATTAATTTTACTTTTCTGTTTTGAACGGCAGTTCCCGGCTACGAACATACTAATTTTACATTTTCTGTTTTGAATGTCAGTTTCCGGCCATGACATATTTGGCAGTTCCCGGCCGTGAACATATTAATTTTACGTCTGCTTTTATTTCACTTTTATTTTTATTCTCATTTGATAATAAAAATGTTTTGTTTTGAGTTGAAAATAAAGGAAAAATTAATCTATTTCCAGTTCAATGGAAAAGAAAATAGTTTTTCGTTTTGATTTGGTAATTGATTGAGTTTCGTTATTGTTGAAGATTATCACCTCTGTATTTATAGCAACTTTGAAGGCTTGAGAAACATTCCATTTCGAAATTCATTTGTTTTAAACTGCTTGGGCACTGTAACATATTCACTTTCTCCTTAGTTTTTTCTTTTTTTATATTTTATGACTTTCTTTTTGTGTTGGTTACTTGATAGATAATGTTTACCTTTCTTTAGCATTTTATTTTTGGCATGTGTTTTGGCATACGGTATTTAGCATTTGTTTTTTGGCATCTACTTTTTGGCATACATTGTCTGTTTTAAAAAGCATTTCGTCAGCATTTCTATAGTAACTTGTTGGCATCTCTATAGCACTCACGCATTTAAGGGAGTTAGATCCTTGTCCAAAGCTGCACTTGTTCTGACCTTAGGAATTCAAACCCGACACAGTGTAAGTATCCGATTGCATGTGCACCTGAATATTCTAGAACCTTGTTATCAGTGCAGCATTTCTTTTAATAACGCAAAGATCACCTTAAGCTTATTAACTCTTTTTAGTTGTAAAATAATTTGCTTTCTCATGTAAACATCAACGCCGCTTTACAATTCGAGGACCGTTTTTTGCAGCTAAGGCTCTTTGGTCACTCTTTGGCTTATTTGCTTTTCACTGAAGGAAATCACATCGTCAGGCTTCGATAGCTCTTTCACACTCTGTCGATCGCATCTTCTCCATATCAAGTAATATCGCGGAACAAATGCGCACAATTCGTCCAAATATACAACAGTGATCCGCGCTCAATTATTTCAACGTCCTTTTAACAATTCCAAGTCCATTTCTTACATATGATATTCTCAGTTTTCATTAGAATATTTCCATTTATACAAAACCCATCTTCGGCTGGCTACTCTTTTGTGTCAGGAAAAAATGTACGCCTTACTAGTACCCTCTAGAATATGCCAAACATATGCGTAAAAGGCACTTTGAACAAAAGTAATGTTAAGTAAGGGAGGTAAGAGTAAAGTGTATAATTTGACTTTGATGAATAAATTAATAAGAATCGAGTGAATGAGTGAGTAAGTGGGTGAGTGAGGGAGTGAGTGAGTGAGTGAGTGGTCGAGTGCCATTCGAGTGTCTCCAAAAGCCCATGGCATGACTACGTCATCCATGAGCTAAAAAACCTCTGTAGCTTTAACAAACCGTCGACGTCTAGAAAGGCAACCTCGTTCCCAGGATTCTCTCCAACGGAGAGACAACCTGGGAACGAATTTAGCCTGTCAACACTTAACTGAACGAGGTTAGTGGGAAAGGAATGTATGACAGCGGGGAGAATTGGGTGACCCCAGCCCGAGCGGCTGCGAGGAAGACTATCGTCTCCCGCCAAAAGTCTCAGGTTTCTTTCGTTCTCTTTTTTTTTTGAACGGCAGTTCCCGGCCATGAACCTATTAATTTTACTTTTTGTTTGTTTTGAACGGCAGTTCCCGGCCATGGACATATTAATTTTACTTTTTCCGTTTTAAAAGGCAGTTCCCGGCCATGAACATACTAGTTTTACTTTTCCTGTTTTGAATGGCAGTTCCCGGCCGCGAACATAATAATTTTACTTTTTCTGTTTTGAATGGCTGTTCCCGGCCGTGAACAAATTAGTTTCACTTCTGCTTCTATTTCACTTTTATTTTTATTTTCATTTCATAATAACAAAGTTTGTTTTGAAATTTTACAAAATGAATCTATTTCCAGTCAGGAGCCTGATGGGCTCCTGTTCCAGTTCAATGAAAAACAAAATAATTTGACGTTTTTCTTTCGTTTTATTTTCAATTCAAAATAATTAAAGTTCAATCTAAAATTAACAAATTTATGTCGTGTTGACGTATGGCAGTTGTCGGCCACCATACATAACGTCAAAATCCGTCGCGTAAATGAAAAAAATGCTTTAAAGTACCTCAGTCATTTTACTTACTATCTTTTAACCAAATACGTTGCGGAGAAAAGAGATAAAAGGCTGAAAACAGCCTTTCATTTCGATTTAAAATTTCAGATGGAGAATGCCCTTTTCGTAGGTCTGCACCTGCAATGACTTGTGTGCTAAAACTCCTTCATGGTGGTATCTCTCAGGCAAAAACGTCCGCCTAGCGGCGAGGAGCGAGGAGAGAAGTCCGTGGCCATTTTCGAAAAGAAAAAGAAGTGTAAAGGCAGCACCTTCATCGCTCAGAAAACGTCTGCGTATATAATTTTCTTCAGGCCGCACAGAGTCATCAATTAATGTGCCTTTACGGACCCCTTTTAAATGAGCAGCCAGCATGGCCAGTAGGCTGTTCCGGAACGGAACAACGTGATTTGTTCTCCGCCACCCGGAACCAAACATTTAGCGGTGGTGAGGAAAAACTTTTATTTTTATGCGCCAATTTTGTGGATCAAACAAAGTCTGCTAGCTCTAAATGTAGTGATAAAGACATGGATTGTTGTATTTGTAGGGTTGATCCTAATGGAGAACCCAATGCCAACCAACCCACCCATCTCCTCCTCCTTCCCTAAAGTAGACTTTTCGTGACGTTAGCATAATCACCTGAGACCTCTTGTAAAGTTCACTAAAATAATAGCAAGCACCTTCGTAGCCTGTTCACAGACCCTCTACTTTTTCATTAGAGATCGTCCATCTATTTTCTCTTTGGAGATCGTCGATTTTGCGTATGAAAATAAAAAGCCGCGGGGGATATATTGACCAGTAGAGCAGGTTTCTCTCGCTCGCTCGCTTCGCTCGCGTGCTCGTCTATTTTCGGAACGAAAGAGGAGTGTAAAAGCTGCACATTCGTTGCTCAGAAAACGTCTGCTATATCATTTTCAGTTCAGGCCATACAGAGACATCAATCAATGTGCCTTTATGGACCCCTCTATGAGCAGCCAGTAGGTTGATCTAGAACGGTACCACGTGATTTGTTGCACTGCTACTCGAAACCAAACATTTAAAGGTGGTGAGGAAAAACTCTTATTTTCATGCGCCAATTTTGTGGATCAAACAAAGATCACCTAACGTAAATGCAGAAAACCTTACTTTTATCATTAGCATGGTAGGGTCGATGTTTGGTTATTGGCCTACATACTCACCTTACTAACAAGTCAGGAGCATACCAAGGTGACTCACGACATCTTTTCTATGATCGCAATACATTCAGCATTACTGCTGCCACAGGCGCCACAAGCCAAGTTTGAATATGTGCGAGATGCTATACGAACATACAACAAAGACTTGCACCGTAAAACACTTATACCAGGAATTTCTTTTCCGGCGCGTTACGCGTCACGCACTTCCGGAATGTCGTCTTCCCTCGTGTTGACAGATTGAAAACATATACAAACTTAACTTCGATTCTGCCTTGATGCAGAATTTAGTTAGCGGTACTGTGACCCCGTCTAGCATTTAAATTCAGGTAAGTAAATAACTTTTCTGATTTTAAGGTTTCAATACGATTAAAACTTTTGCAAGCTCTACTAACTGTGATTTGAACTGCGTATTCGTCTCTTCATTATGGTTTATCGCAAAAATCAGTTGAAAGGAATCATGTTAAACCGCACAGAAATGCCGAAATATAATCTGAAACCGTTACAACTCTGACTAGGGTTTAAATGTCGAAGTAACTTACGTCTGCGAAGGATTAATATTCCAAGCGTCGAAACTTGCTTGTTGCACGCGCTTTCTTGGTGTCAAAATACCCTTCAGGTTTTGGTCTCTCGATGGTGCGCATTTGGAATGCCGCCAGAAATATTTTAACGCAAACAACAGCAAAGGATATGCTTCAATACAGTTCTTGTTTCATATTAAAATTCCGTGTACCAACTGGGTTTTTACGATGGTGAAGTTAGGTCAAATTTGCCATTTTTGAAAAGTGCTGAAACCGTGTTTCTTCTTGCGGCCGGTACAGTCACATTTAAACGGTTTATTTAAAGTTAACTGCTGAATTATAAAGTAAAAATGTGTGTCTCTTTTGTGACGTGATTTCATCTAGAGATATTATTCCGTTTTTATGTACGAGCGCGAAGAAAATGCTCAATTTTCGCTAATTTCATACTCGAAAAAGCGCCGATTTAGAGTTTTTCAAACTTTGCCTGATTCCTGAAAAAATAAAAAGCTGTTACAAGTTTTAACGTGATTTTTGAAATTAGGGTACTATAGAGATTATTTGGGCAATATATGAAGAAATTCAAAAATTCACGACTGTCAACCGATTCTCGAAAATTACAGACATTGGCTCTTAAATAACTTATTGATTGCCTCCCGCCAGTAGAGGATTTTTTATCGTGTTTTGTTATATAATGATATTTGTATTATTTGTTTCGAATTGTTTGAGCAGCTAGGTGCACTAATCCACAAAGTTTTCATCCATCTACCATCCTAGTCAAGAGATTCTAAATTTGTGCAAGGAATCTTTCGACCTTCTCGCACAAGCGTCAGCTGGAACACCTACTGTCAGCGGACTTCAAGTCAATTTGGTCACATGACTACAAGTGGTTGACAATAACGGGTAGTTGGTATCTTAATCTCCTTTAAAGGAAGTTATGCTCTAAATATCCAGATCTGAGAGCAATAGTTAGGTTTGTTTCTTTCGACCGCTTTAGACTACGCCACAGACGGAACTAAACTTCGGGTTAAGTCCGTCTGCGAAACAGAGCCGAAATCCTTGTCCTTCCCCCCCCTTCAGGTAAATTAAGGCATGGGTCCCCAATGATTCAGTCAAAAAGTGATGGGGAGTGGTCTATCTCTGAGCACTTAAGCAGTAGGAAGATGAGACTTCGCCAGATACATACATGTGTGGTTTCTGTCAATTAAACGATTTTCAATTATGCAAATGTTGTCACGTGACTCCACACGGCCAGAAAACAATAAAAAGTCTTTAAACAAAAACGGCAACACTTTTTGTTGTGAGTTCTTAAACCGGACTGGTTTAGGACAATGTGTAATGCAAGCATCTTCAAAACTGTGCTTGGCTTTTTCAGCCGATGGAGGTCACGTGACCTAATTTGCATAAATTCAAAGCACGAAATTGACACAAACTAAAAAAGTGGCCAGCTGGCAAAGTTTTATGTCTTTTCATCTAAAGCTCTTAGATACAAACCACCCACTCATTTTTGAAAAGAGCAAATTAAGGCAAATTGAGGCCCATGCCTTAATTTACCTGAATAGCCATACACAGCCATACCCCCCCCCCCCCTACTCCCCCGGGTTTGAGTACGCGCCATGATTGGACTTTACAAAATGCCATTGTCATATTTCCCAATCAGGTTGAAGGGAAACTCGAAATACATTTGTGGTAATTCATTGAGCCCGTTGGTGGTTCAGAACAAGGATTTCAGCGCTGCGTTGCAGACGTCACTAACGGGGCCTCGCAGATTACGTCTGCGAGGCAGGCTATTGAGACTCGAGGGAAATCAAAATGCACAGAAAATATTCTCGGATATGTTGATTCTGTGACAAAAGAAAACCTTTGTTATAAAGAAAAAAATTTTGGATATCAGCACTTTGGAATTGCTTTGCGGACCTCAACCTTGACGGTCCCAGTCCATAAAATTCACTTCTGGTCAATAACGCATGATATATTAGACCTAGGTGTACGCGATTATCCACTGACAAAGACTGTCTTGTTCATTCGTGTTCCCAGGTTAGCTATGGCGCGGCCTCGGCCTATCTTTCAGACAAAGAAAAATACCCTCTGTTCTTCAGGACAATTCCGCCTGATAACGCGCAAAACCAAGGTCGCCTTGCCATCCTGAAACATTTCAATTGGAAAAAGGTTGCTATTATAACGGAATCTGAGTCTTATTACCAAGCTGTGAGTATTCCCTGTAAAAAACTGAAGTCATTTTTATTTAGTTTTCCATTTCTACATTTTGTCCTCCGGCAAATGCTCAGTGTCAGCTTAGTTTTCCAAACCAACCAGAAAGAAAGCCAAAACCACATCAAATATACCTTAAGGAAGGTGAAATGCTTTCATCCCGACCAGGTCATAACAAAAAGTGCCCACATTCATAACAGTGGAATAACTGAAGTGCCTACCCACAAAAAATATCAAGATTTGCTCACAACCTTTGGATAGAGAGGTCCACACAACACGTACACGTACATATGTATTGTCTGTTTGTTTGTTTGTTTGTTTGTTTTTTTCAAGATTTGTTATTATTATTATTGTTATTATTCAAAGTCGGGCCTAGCACGTGCTTGGCTAGAGCCTTTTCCACCATTCCACCACCTCCCACCCCTTCTCTTATTGAAGGAAACAACTAAAGATCAAACAGAAATTACGTTTTAAATTTGTATCGTGTGTATCGTGATGACGTTTCTTTAAAGGCTTACGATAGTCTCAAGACATTACTGGCAGAAAATAACTTGTCTATCATCGTCCACGAATCCCTTGGTGAGGGAGAAGAAAGCCATCAATCGTCCATTAAAGTATTGAAGGTAATCAAATAATAATTGATAAATTGCAGTTGTAACGACCAAGTTAAAATAGAGCGAGCACTAGGAGTTCGCTATGGTGAAATCATATTTAAGAACAGGATAACTGATCAAAAAAAATACGAATCCAAGAGTTCGAATATGGAAGCAACTTATGATTGAAGGTAGGTAAAACAGGCAACGAAAGCTGAAACTCGCTCCGCAACATTGCTGCAAAACGAACGAACTGAACAGCGATGTTGCGCTTTTTACCACGCACTTCTCAGGTTGCGAAGAGTTGTTGCATAACTGAGTAGAGAGTAGTTCTACTTTTTGCCACCAAATCTGTACATGTTGCGCGTTTTACCGGCCCAAGGCAAACTTGTCTTGCAGCAAATGACGTAAATCTTGTGTATGGCTTGACTCCCGCGTAATGTTATCCAATCAGAAGTCAGTATTCACGCAACTTGCAACAATCTCACTTGTTACAAGACATGATTGAACGGGGGTTAGTGGCAAAACGCGAAAAATAGTCCAGTTTCGAATTAAAAATCACCGCGGAATACAAACATTAACGACTCATTCGATACAGGGTTAGCTTCGACGTAAACTAAAATATTCAGAAATTCTGGCAAGTAAGTGTTTGAAATTTGAATATACACAATAGACAGAATAATAAGCAGGTCTTTTTCTCGTTGGAATTTGTTTATATATTACTTCAGATGGAGGCTAAGGCTGTAAAAAGTGCGTCCTCACTTCTTTAATTCAGCGGTCACAGCGAACTCGAAAATGGGCTATTGTTTTTCATGCAGTTAGTTTTGCAGCAATGTTGCAAAAGAAGTTGCACGATTTTGTCGCCCTTTTTACCTTAGCATTAGTTTGCGAGAGATTCTTCTTCCAACAACCAACAATAACAACGCACCATAGACATTGTGATACATGTGGGATTTCCCCACGCATTTTGACATTCACTGCGTTGAAAATTATGGGAGCTGTGTCACGAAATTCAGCCAAATTAGGTTATTGCAAAATGCCCGTTTAAATTAAAAGAAACGTAAAAATAACCACTTAAAACATTAAAGGAAGCTTAAAATAACACAACAGATACAACAGCTGCCACGGATGGGCAAAACTGAAGACTGAAACGGATTGAAATTAGGGTTTCATGAAAACTCTTCAGCCTAACAGTTTTTCAAAGTTTATCTCAGATGTTTGCAGCTTCAAAAATAATGCTCAGGGGACATATTTTTTGTTTGTCTCTAATCTCTGATTTTGTCATTTACATGTAATTTCTTTGCCTACTTTGAGTTCCATAGCGATTGAGGGCGAGTAATTGGTAAAATAAAACAAAATGAACTGGACTGCCGTGACACAGCCCCTTTGAGCACGGTCCGTAGTAGTTTCCTTGATCAAAAGCCATTACTTTATGTTAATGCACACTGAGCGCAGGATTACGTCTCAAAGGGTCTGAAATGACGTCATTTGCACATTTGCGTCGCTTGAATTTGAAACTGCCAGGTTTTGTTTGCTCGTGAAGATTGTTTTTTAATCCTCACTGGAACGGAATGGATTGTGGTAACTGTAGCAAAATGATGTCGTAGTGGAAATGTCCTCTTGCAACGGAAGGTGAGTGACACACCTTAAATCTTAATTTGTTTCCTTCTCGCTTTATTTTGGATGTTACAGGAAAGAGATGCACGGGTGATAATTGGACTTTTCTCTGAAGAAAAAGCCATTGAGTTATTTTGCCAGGTAATAAATCGACTCAAACTGTTGAAACTTTGTGGAGAGGCAAGGGATAGTTTCATTTTATAAATAAACCCGGGCTGGAGTGTTTCCTCCTTTTTTCAATTTGATTGACGTTGAGGTACATGTCTGGAAATCACCCAGTTAAACAATCGGTAGCCTGCGAAAACATCCGTTTCTCCTCGCTCTTCGCCGCCGGGGACGTTTCGCGAGGAGGAATAACGTCTGCGACTCAGGGGCAGAAATTCCATACTGATGACGCAAACCGATGTTTACATAATAAATCCAGTAGTCATGGGGTTCCAAATACAAATTTGTCCAATTTTACGTGTCTTCTGGTCGATTTTGGTAAAGTGTTGTGTTCATCTGCCAACGAGCTCCAGCAAAACTCCAATGCTTCTTTTAGAGAAGACTATATTCCACAAATATTGACTATTTTGTTAGGGATTCTTCGCGTTTACATTTGACCTTTGCGGCCTTTGTCTTTTGTCTGTCATTCGTAAACAATAGCTAAAACAATGAAACTACTCCATCGACCAATCAGCGCTTCTGACCGGATTCCGGACAGATTTTACGTCATCAGTATGGAATTTCTGTCGCTGAGCCGCAGACGTTCCTCCGCGCGAAATGTTCCCATCGACGAAGAGCGAGGAGAAACGGATGTTTTCGCAGGCTAAACAATCGGTTGTTTAATTGTTTCTTAAACTAGGGTAAGAGCTGGGTAATTGGCTACTGCGAATGATCATTAATGTTTGAGAAAATTCAAAGCTCTAGTGTTTTGACGTAGCCGGGCTTTCATCGATGTCCGAGAGTGTTCTCCAGTTTATATGGTAGTTAAAATAACATGATACAGGTCCTGTTCACGCTTTCTCAGTATGAGTACCAGTATGTAAAGTCACATATCAACCTCGAGAAGTCAAGAGTTTTCCATGCCATCAGGTCTCAAGACACCGAAAATCGTTCCGGTTGCGCTTTAAAATGTTTCCAATATCCTCTTTAATTGCTTCTTGTCAGTAACTTTCGAATAACCAATAAATATTCAGAAAAAAGGTTTTTGCAGTGCGCGGTGCTTATTAGATCACTGAAAATCTAAGAGTAAACTAACAAAGGCCATTGTTATCCATCAAGTCTATTTCTAACCACCTGCCTAACAGTGGTCACCATTAAACTGTTCCCAGGCTTTCAAACAAGGCTTCTATGGTGACAAGTACTTGTGGCTTCTGATGGGATGGTATCGATATCGTTGGTGGGTAGTGGAAAAAATGCACTCTGCCCGTGCGTCAAAGCTTCGTTGCAAAACAGAACACGTCACTAAGGCCTTTGGAAACTTTCTTAGCACAACTATCCTGAGAATGGGACCCAGTTCCCAAGACATAATAGGAAGCGAGGTAAGAACTTACTTGAGTCGTTTATAATATTTTTCATCATTTAGTGGATAAACCTCTAAATGAAACTTTTTTTGCTAATATGGTGGAATTTAGTCGCTGGTACTCCGTTAAAATTTCACTGCTGCCCCACCCATGGAGAGGAGGGGGTTAGTCGTGTACTTATATATGGTAAGGGACAGGTAAGGGACAGACCATTAGAAACGTCATGGGGGGCGAAGTACTAAGAAAATATTCATACAAGGGAAAATTAATCAAAGAAGTAAGGAAAATGCTAACGCAAAAAGTCTTGGATCAATGTAGGTTTCTGAGACACTGCCCACCTATCCTTTCCCTAAGCCAAAACTTTGCCCAAAGTGAGAAGTAAGTGTTAATGTTAGCTTAGGGGAGGGGTAGGTGGGCAGTTTCCCAGAAACCTAAATTGATCCAAAGTATTTATGCAGCTCGAAAATTCCCTGCCCCTGCCAGAACTTTTCTAATGGTCCGCCCCTTAAGTACCCAGTTTCTAAGGGGGGAGTGTACAATTTTTAAAAGAAGCATTTATTGTATAACAGACAAGCACTAGTTAAGGCAGCTTCGGTCGAGTTCCACAGGACAGTGTGTAACGTTTTTATGTATTGTTTTCTTATAGTGCAGCTTAGAGCTGCATCATTCCAAATTTAATTCATTTTCTTTCTCCAGGAAGCGTACCTCTCATGGAAAGACAAATATAATGAGTTAGGACTTTACTCGGGACTTGCCCATGACGCAGTTGTTGCCATGGCTCTTGCTCTAAACAAGTCCACCGAGACTCTTGCCTCAAGAAACAAAACGCTGGAGAATTTTACGTACACAGACAAAGAAATGGCTGAGGTGTTCAGGGATTCACTTTCGAAGGTGAAATTTCTGGGCTTTTCGGTAAGTGGAACAATGTTTATCCTCATTTTCAAAGCTACTGTCAGTTACCCTGAGGAGGCGAGGCTTAGTCCGCTTAGCCTTCAGCTGAGCCTTGAACCGGCCAGGGTCACGCAGTGCCAGCACTCTATACTTGATTTGTCACGTGACATGCTACGAACTATCCTTTGCGAAAGGAGTTTGGTCTGAAACTGCCATTCAATAGACCTAATCACGGTTCCAAATCAGGCAATTGCCAAGGTTTTAGAATTTTAAAACCTGGATAGTACATCCTTTTCAAGGGATTTATCTAAAATACTCTAGACATCATTACGAGTAATGATCTGTTTGCAGGGACCTGTGTTTTTTAACGAAGATGGCGATAGACAAGGGCTTGTGGAAGTCGGACAAATGCAAGGTCAGACACTAAATCAAGCTTTGTTGACAGAAATCTCTAACCAATGTAATACAGTAAAAATTCTTGAAAAAAATAAGAGCCACCCAATAAGAGGGCACCAACACCGTAAATAACATGCTCTAAAGTCTTCATCTTAACACGTCGCCACGATTTTGTCAAATGATACCACTTATTACTACAAGACGTGTGGATTGAGTCGAGGCCGCAAAAGCGAGCAGTATTTACAACCGCATGAGTATTATAGTGGGGGACGTTTAGGTTCTCCTTTCTGCCGAGGGATCTCGTTAATTTTGCGGGGGAATAAGGCAAAGTCTCAGTTCTATCTGAAGATGAGTTATTGGTTATTGTTACATTTTAGCGTTTTAAAAAGAGTTGGTGTAAACATTTATTCATCCTTAGACGGCCGAGTAAAGATTCTTGGGAACTACACGATGGAGGAAGATAAACTGGTTCTCGAATCCTCAAAGTTCGTTTGGAAAGGTAAGAATTGTTACTGTTGTTACTGTTGAAAAGAGGTAGCTAGATAAAGAATACTCCCACGCTAATGCAGTTATTGCCCCACTCCGTTTACACGCCTTGCATCGAGTCTTGGTTTGAAAGAGACTTGTTCAAGTAACTTCTTTTGTTTGATTTTAGGTGGTACGATTCCATCTGATCAAATGATGACGGTCGACAGATTGCTCAAGATTTCAGTGGGTTTGTTCAGTTTCTTCTGCGCGGTTGAGATTTTGGGAATAATTGTAGCGGTAGCATTTCTGACATTCAACATTTGCCACAGAGACCATAGGTAACACTAAAAAATTTTCCGCAATGCGAACACGTAATTTATCAGGGGCACCCAACGAGAGTATAGTTCAAAACCACATAAACATAGCATTGTTGAACGTACTTTAGTATTTTAAACGGTAGATAAAGGCTTATTTTTATCCCGTAAAAATTTTTCATCTGTTCGGATTTCCTAGCTGAAAGTATAGTGATCCGAAAATTATAGGGATCAAAATTTACCTTTTCGAAAATTTCAGCCAGAAAAAAGGCTCCCGAAAATTCTAGGTGACCTTTCTAGGGTAAAAATCCGTTAAAAATGGGCAATTATACGATTTTTTTGAAGTTCGAAAATCCTAGGAGAGGCAGGCAAGCAAGAAATTTGTCAGAAAATGATCCGAAAATTCTAGACCTCGAATCGTCTTCCGAACAGATAATTTTCCGAAAATTGTCGTTGGGTGCCCCTGATTTATAGATTTATCCAAGGCCAAAGGCGAAGCTCTTGTGGGATCTTTTGAAGACTGTCTGTTTGAAGTATTTTAACTATCTTCACATGAATAAGCGAACTGAATTCCTCCTGAAAAAAATGGTCGTCAGTCTGGGATCACTTGAAAACCAATAACTAGTCAGTGGAGAACTTGAGCCCGACAGTCAAGTGAAACTGATACCCTATTTTGGCAGCTGTCAATTGAACATGACACGGATGTCCAAAATCAAGTTAAAGTGTGACATTCCACATCGCTAACATGAAAGGGTTGATGCACGAACCGATGATTTTGTCCCAACCAAATTTTCTTGGATGTAAAGATGACCAAATTTTTTTACCCATTGTGCTCTGCTGTGCCCGCTTCGCGCGCGTGAGAGCTTCGCTATGAGTGATGATTTCTCCTTACTGCATGAGGGCATGATCAAGGAAACAAGTCATGAGTTTTTAAACAATGATCACCAAAAACGTATTGCACTGATTTTCTGCATTCCTTCCAATTTACTTGATAAGACATCAATGGAGGCCAGTTAAAAGAATTTGTGTGTTGAAATTTGGGCTTAAAGGGTTATCCACTGTACTAGTGTTTTAAGACACCTATGTATAATCGTGGCTTCGCAGGTTCATCAAAATGTCAAGTCCCCGTATGAATAACATCATTGTGGTTGGTGCAATTCTCATATACGCGGCTGGGATCCTACGCGGGATTGACGGCAACTTCGTGAGCCCTGGTGTCGAGGCAATTTTTCGCTGTAAGGTAAAATATAAGTGTTGGAAACGATACTGAGGTACTCATACCAGTTAAAACCGGATATACTGGGAAAATGGAAAATGCCAGCTTTAACGTTAAATTGAGCTACATTGCAAAATCAACTTATGAACTTTAAAGCGTTAACTCTTCAGTGGCAACAATCTGTAGGTTTGATAATAAAAAAATGAAGTTTTCGGCGGATCACGAGCAGCCTGCTGGAACTGTTCAGATTCTCTAGGCAATTTAGCCACTAGGAACCCATGGCCAGTTCAGTTAAACACAGTTGGCATTTTTGAGGGTTTTCTTCAGTTTATACTAGCAACAACCTTAGCTTTCAATCATTTATGAATCATTTCCCCCTAATCCCCGTTCAGTTATGACAATGATAAACGTTAACACCTCCAACAGTATAGAAATTCAGGAAAGCATTATCACATATTCTTTGTTCATAAAGATTTTAAGAAGGGAGTGCAAGTAAAATAATCAGTGGAGAAAACCTAAACGAATTGGCCAGGAACCAATTTCATAAAACCTAAAACCTATCGCCCGCAAGTAACTGCTAAGATCCAGCGTTGAAATAAATAGTTTGACTGAGCTGAAAGGCAGCGGTTAGCAGCTACATCCGACGTAAACATTTATGCACTGGCCCCAGGAGAACTTCTATGCCACTCCTAAATTTTCCAAAAATTTACCCATCTCTTGGGAGCACAGAGATGGCGCAGTGGTGAGAGCGCTCGCCTCCCACCAATGTGGCCCAGGTTCAAATCCTGGCTTCGACGCCATATGTGGATTGATTTTGTTGTTGTTTCTCTCCTTTGCTCCGAAAGGTTTTTCTCCACGTACTCCGGTTTTCCTCTCTCCTCAAAAACCAACATTTCCAAATTCGACCAGGAATCAGGTAGACGAAGAACCACTTTGTGGAAATGCTACCTCCAAATCATCATCATCATCATTATTATTATTAAATTCTGTCATGTCGTTCGATTGCAGTTTTCCACTTGGGTTTCCTGTTGTGGATTCACCCTGGGATTTGGTGGGATGTTCCTAAAGACTTGGAGGGTGCATAAGATCTTCCTCAATCGAACAAGGAAAATGGTAGGTTGATAGCTAATACAAGTACTTGTCTATCTGCTTCTCCGTTTCTAAGCACCACTATCGCGCGCAGAACTATATAGGATTCTGCAGGGCGTCGTTCCCAAAAACACACCGCGCGCCGCAACTCCTTCAGCACTTCTTTCGCATGGCTCTTTTCCTTCAGCATTTAACGTGGGAGTCAAAGAGGTTACTGGGGAGAGGGGGCAAGGGTACAAGCCTAGGGTAATTTCTGTCCCTTATATGGGCAATCCCGAAGGCAATGAAAAGCTGATGATGGTTCTAAGTTGTGAATCCGGGTACTAAATTTCATGGTGTGAATATTAAAATGACGCCACATTTTGAGGATTTATCCACGGTGCAAGTTTTGTTTCAAAGCGAGCTTTTTAGAAACTAACATTAGAAATTTCGAATTTGGAAACGTCAAGAATCACTTTGCGCGACTTTTAAAATAAACTTGCAGTTCCTTTAACAACTACAAAGATAACAATCAAGCAACAACAAACAGCTTCAAACAAAAGGCCGAACCTTCGACCGTACAATCGAATCCACAACCCCAAAGGGGAGGGTTGGGCGCGTTAGACTGCGTTATTAAGTTTTATAGGAAGATTAACCAACCCTTTTACAATCAGGGATGATATAAAGTCTGTGATGACCGCCAAAAGATGGTGTACACTCTGACGTCATTCAAAATGGCGGCCATAAGGTCTGCCATCTTGGATTTACCTTTAAACTAAAATGATGTAAAAATAAACGACCATAAAAGGAAAACATTCAAAATGCTTTGGAATTAAAACTCGTATTACAGAACTGTTAATGTAAGTTCCGTGCTGAAGGCTATTTTATTTCTAACAGGTAATAAGTGACTTCCAGTTGTTTGCCCTGCTGGCATTATTCCTTTCTATCGACCTTTTTATTATTATGGTCTGGGAGATTGTTGATCCGATGCACGCCGAGAAAAACTTTACAGGACGCAAAGTACGTAAAGTTGAGGATAGATGAATATTCTTAGAGCTATTTTTAAAGAGTTATCTCGTGGAGTTCCTGTCAACATTCCCAAATCTTGAATTCAGGATTTTGTAGTTCTAAAATCTCGAAATCAAAAATCATGAATTCAGGATAAACGTGAACACAAGATTGTAGCGTTCCAAAATCTTGAATTCAGGATTTTGGCATTCCAGAATATTGAATTCAGGACTTCGGAGTTCCAAAATCTTGGAATAGTCCAGTTTCGAATTAAAAATTACCGCTGAATATAAACATTAACCACACATTCATGCAGGGTTAGCCTCGACGTAAAGTAAAATATTTAGAAATTCTGGCAAGTAAGTGTTTGAAATTTGAATATACATAATACACAGAGTAATAAACAGGTCTTTTTCTCGTTGGAATTTGTGAATATATTACTTCAGATTGAGGCTAAGGCTGTAAAAAATGCGTCTTCACTTCTTTAATTCAGCGGTCATAGCGAACTCGAAAATGGACTATTCAGGATTTTGGCGTTAAATGATCTTTAGTTCATGATTTTGACCTTCCAACATCTTAATTCAGGATTTTGGGAATAAGGTGAGATAATACCTCGCTCCTCTTTGGTTCCAATTCTCTAGAGGCCTTAAACGGTTTCTTGACAGCCAAAGAAACTTCCCAGTAGAGAGAAGAAGTCGTTACGTCACGTTCCCATGGTAGCAAAATTTCTGGATCAAAACAAACCGAAAATTCACTTATAAAGTGAATTCGCCCTTGTTCAAACTTAATCGATCTTATTCAATTTCACTTAATCACTTAATTTGTCAAATATTGGCGAAATAACCCGAAAGAACCCGTATTTAAATTTATAAAAATAAAATTTTTGTGTTGTGTTTTAATACTTATTCCATAAAGCACGCGCGTGAAATTAGGAAGTGTCATGTCGCAGTCGTGCAACAAAAAAGCATGATGCACGTGCAATGCTGTTGTTTTGTTAATATAAACTTATTGATTTTTAACTCTTCTCGTTGCTGTCGCCGTCGTCGCTGCTTAAACTCTCTATAGTTGTGATCCAGAAAATGCGCTACCGTGGTAACGTGACGTCACACTCGTACTTCTTTTCAGGAATACAGCCCTTCAACGGACACAGAGTATGTACCATACTATATCAAGTGCAGTTCTTCGTACCCAAGCGTGTGGCTCGGCATCGTCTATGCTTACAAAGGCATCCTGCTGGTATTTGGCGCCTTTTTGGCCTGGGAAACAAAAAACGTGAAGATTCAGGCGCTGAACGATTCACGCCACATTGGTATATCTGTGTACAACGTGTTTTTTCCGTGCGCTCTTGGCATGACTGTGGTTAACGTGGTTGATAATAACCCGGGTGTTAACTACGCAGTGCTCTCAGTTCTGGTCGTGTTTTGCACCACGATGACTCTCTGTCTCGTTTTTATTCCAAAGGTAAGGGAATTGATAAGATCATGTTTAAGCAACAAATGGACCGGTTTTTAAGCAGGGATCGCAGTAATGTCAGAAATGCTTTCGTTTAGCATTTTGCTGCCGCTGTGCCTAGTCAACTTTCACATACGGGAAATTGTTTAGGATTTCTGAAGGCGACTCAACCGGTCCCGAATATGTTCAAAGTTTTCCGACGAATTGTCCAAAAGTGGGAAGTTCCGGGGACATTGACCGTGTGCATAAGAACTCAGACCTATCTCAAGTAGTGACTCCATAGCTCGTTACCCATAAAATTGAGAGAGCTAGCCTGGATAAAACCAAGACTATAGTAACTGTTGGACATGCGTTGTGCTCCTTTTTGTAATTTACGGTGAGTTTACGTAACAGGACGGCAGAAAGAAGAGGGCGACAAAACGTTTGTGTGTGACAAACGTGACAGGCCTAACAAAATTATTGTCACGCTTGTCACACAAGGTTTGCCGTCTTCTTTCCTCTCTCGTCGTGTTGCGTAAGCTCACTAATATCTAAAGACAGGAGCCCATTCCGGCTAAAGAAAAACTAGTTTTTCCCCAATGTTGTTTTCTCCGCTAGATCACAACAGTGAGGGCAGACCCACAAGGAAAGAACAGACCTCGCTTTGTGTCGGCTCTGAACAAAACTCCAGCACAAGTACCACAGACTCAACAACAGGAAAGGCAACAGTTGCGACCAGATGCGACAAGAGAACCAGAAAGGGAAGCCCAAGCCAGATCTTCTCGTGAAGTGGGAAATTGCGCCGATTCTAGTCTACTATGAGGCTCGTTTTGCGCTAAATCATTACAACTGTGGATAAGTACAAGATTCTGCAAACCTGTCCACCTACCTACCCCTCCCCTAAGTAAACATTTTGTCCTAAGTGAGAAGTTAGTGCCAACGTTGCTTTAGGGGAAGGGGGGGGGGTAGGTAGGGAAATTTCCATGAATGTTAGACAAGCCCACATATCAACCTGCAGACTGGCTGGATCGCGAGCCACCATTTGCAATTGACGATTGCTGTTTCCAGATCCTGCAGACGAAAGTTGTAAAAGCTAATTTGGGGGACAAATTTTAGTGTATGAGCAAGGCAGAGCTCTGTAGCTCTGCCATTGATTTTTTGTATGTATAATTCTGATAATATTTTGTTGTAATAATTTATTGAGGAGGCCCATTCCTTGTAAGCCCAGTGGCTTCCCCTGGGCTTCTTCGCCATTAGCTTTTTAATTGTTTAGATTTTCTTGTTTTTTGCACATCCTCATGGCAAAACAATAAACTGAAACTTAACGAAGAAGACACAGGAAAATGCAGAAATAAATTTAGTTACTAGCCGCGAACACTTGTGGCTTACATTGCAAAAACGATAAATTGCAGAGAATTAAGATAAGGAAATAAATTTTAAAAATCACTTTTTTGTATGATTGTAATTTTTGTTCTGTCCATTACTGTACCAAGGAACAGTATGCAGTCTACAGCCATAAAACGGCTGAGGGGCTTCAGTACGTTTTTCAGGTCGGCAGGTTTCGATTGAGACGTTAAAAAATCCGGAGAGAAAAGCTCACTTTAAGTCAAAAACTGAATATCTGGTCTAAAATGGATTTGATTTGTCCATACATCACCGTTTAAAAGGACGGAACAGCTATACGGAATATCTTGGAGGTAAATTCATCGTAAATTCACGATGAACAACACACAGGCGGTTTTTTTCCTGTCGGCTACGCTTTAAAACAAGCAAGCTGTAATTACAAATTCAGCAACTGGTTCTGCGTTCGATTCTGTGGTTATACCAATGCATTTTTCTACCAGACAGAGGAAATTCTCTCGATTTCCCTCATCGGCAATTTATCAGAACACTGAATTTTCAGTGTTCTCCAAATGTTTTCACAGTTTTTTAAATGGCAAAGAAATCTAAAAGAGCCTCTATTTTATGCCCTTTTCCCTTTCTTTTTCCCCTTATTTTCTAGCGCGTTAGGATCTTTTCCTTCGGCGATGGCCAACTTTTTCTTGAGCTCTAAAAGAATGGCAACTTCAGCATCCACTGTGGCTTTTTCAGCCTTGTCAGTCTTCAATTTTCGCACCTTGTCGCCCTTAAAATAAAGGAATGTTACGGTATAAATTTTCTTGGCGAGATTCTAAAATAATAACAACAGCAGTTTGAACTGCTGTATACGGTTGTCGCTTACACGATAAGCGTCATCTTAACAACCCACTGTGACTCCACTCAACACGAGATAGAAAGTCGTTCCTCAAGGCAAATTAGTCTTTACCAGTCAATTCTCTTCTAGAGAAAAGAGAAGGAAATTGAGCCGAGTTAGCTTTCCCAAAGACTTCTGGAACTGTTACTGAGGGATAAACCTGGCCAATAGAGAGGTTAAGCATCACGTTTACATCAAACGGCAAACGCGAATTTGTGCCACTTGACCAAGTTTCCAACTTTTCTTGTCGTTTACTGTTCATAATTTCTACACCTAAATTAGTAGTTTCACGCAGTTTTTTATCCATAAGAATTGTTTTGAGCTGTTTTTATCTGCTCATTTTCTATTTTGAGAAATTCTCAACTTGAATCTGACGTTTGCCGTTTGCCGTATACGTAATGCTTAAACTATCTAATAGCTCACCGACGCGTCCAGTAACGATACCAAAAACCATTGCGGGACGCATTGCGGCTCCAGTTCCCTTCTCGATTCTCACTGTTGGCCATGCACAACACAAAAACTTTGCTGAAAAATTATGATAAAATCTTCCGCACGTGACCACCGCGATAGCGCGAGCATGCGCAGCCACTTGTCCGCCATACTTTGCGAAAGTTTCCTCATAAAAATACTACGGACATTATCTTTTATAACCGACCACACTTATTAGCATTTGAGAAAATGATGCGTCCGTTCCAACAGACCTTGATCCTGATTTAAACTTAGCGCTTGCCTCGGCGTTCGTACTTACTTGATATGAGTCTCTCATACTTGTGCTTGCGTTTTACTTGTGTCAGAAGTAGCGAAACTTCGGCAAGAAAAAAAATTGTTGTCTATTGGTGCTACTCTAGACATAGAAAAACGTAACGTCCCTTACCTGTTTAGTGACCTCTGCTTGTAATGAAGCAACATTTTTGCCCGCGTTACTTCCGTCAGAAGTGTTGTGGTTTTTAGATTTGTCACTCGCAGCCTGTTGCTTTTGTTTGTTTCCGCCATACTTTGCACGGAACTGTTCGGCCATCGAGGGGTCAATCTTTTGGAACAGCGGCTGCGGCTAAAAATAAATATTTACATTGTACACAGGGTTCACTCACAAGCGACTCGTGCAAATGAAGAGAAATTAGCAATCGGCTGCAAGGCGATAAATTACCTTGTTCACGAAAATGTGCAAGCTTAATATGGGTACAGTTTTTGGCCGCTAACATGGTAGTAAAAAAACAAAGATGGCAACGAAAGAACAACCTTTTTTGGGGGGGGGGGAATAAATATCGGACCATTTTCTTTGCCATAGAATTTCACGCAAGCTACTTGCCTCATTTTCACGTTAAATCCACGTGACATCACACACGTTCTCCGATGATACCCGCACACACAAATAGGAATCTCGACCACAATTTGTTTTTCCCTGATTACTACTAATGCTCAACTCAAGGTTGCTATTACGCATGCGTGGCATGTATGTAGCCAGCATTTGGACGTCCACTACGAGTGAATGGACCGCATAGAACGCAATTTGATCACGTGCGTTTGGAACTTGTATCACTAGTAACTGATCACGCGGGTTTTGACCTTCTATCACGTCAAACTTAGTTAAGGTAGTAAAAAAAGCACCACCGTGGTAAAGAACGAAAGCAATACCATGGCAGCAAATACACTACCCAGGTAACGAGAGAATTATTATGACAACGAAATGTCATGGAAACGACGGTAATACCATGGCAACGAAGGCTTAACATCACAATGGTTACAAAGGAAGCTAAATAGAACGCAAAGCCTAAAAAAACCTTCAACAACACTACCTGAATTTGCTGAGAGGTTTTGGACACACACAAAAGAAATGCTGAGTTGACGAAGTAATATTTCCTCGTTCTTACCTTTCCAATTTTGTGACCAGGTTGAAGGTAAGGAATAAAGTTATCCAGCACCACGTTTCCTTCGTCCGTGATCTGAAAATGTTTGTCACCGATTTAAAACTTTGGTTTACCACCGTAAATAGAGTTCATTTGAATCAGAGTTCAGCAGCAATTATGAAATTGATGCCATTTAGTAAACCTAGCTCTAATGTTTAAGATTGCGGCTGCTGGCTTGATTCAAATTTAAATGTCAACACTTTTTTTCGAACGTACATAAAGCTTACTTTTTCCATATATTGAAAACTTAAGAAGTATCAAGAGGTATTTGTCAAGAGACTGTCTGCCGATTTAATTGCGCGCGTTAATCACTAGTAGGTCAGACTACTGCAATAGTTTGTTATAGGGTCTTCCTTCAAAAGCAAAAACTGAGTCCTGACATTACAACGTGTACAGAATGCAGTAGCCATATCACAAAGCTCTTCATTTATTTGCTGTAGTTTAAACAGACTTATTCTTGTTTCTGTTCTTATTCAAGAGTAATTATCAAGAGTATGCAGGTTGAATAAAGAGATCTGTTAAGCAATAGAAACCAACAAAACCAAATATCAACGCCTGAACTAACACTGACTAAACGAACCTGAAGTTGGCGTTGAATTTCTTCACAGATTCCAGGCATGTAGGGATGAATGAGGACCGAAAGTAACCAGGCCAGGTTTGTAGCCACACCAAGGACTGTGCCTGCACGCGATCTACAAAAGTCACATTATCTTACTTATTGACTGATAGGTCCTTAAACGTGAGATCATCATCATCATCATTAGTGGCAACATCATCATCATCATCGTAGCTATCAGTTGCGATATCTTCATAATCACGACCGCGGAAGTTGCGCGCGTGGAGCCCACGACTTGACCTTAACAACTCGTCTATATATTTAAATAAGTAGTCCCGTCACCGCACATCCACAACACAAGTTAATCAACGTAAAATGGTATTTACAAGATAACCCTCAGCTGTATTCCGTGTTTTGGTAGAAAAATGCATCACCAACCATGCTTTTGATAACGTGAATAGCAAAGTAAAGAAAGCAAAAAACGAAGCCACACAAATAGGCAAGCAAACAGGTTTGTTCAAATCTGCCGCGACAAAGAATCGGCCCTGGTGCTTTCCCGCTGAACAAAACATATGTAGGGTTACGTATATAATCGGGTTATCTGTATTCATTGCCGTCATACCTGTCAGAGTCGCTTCCTTTGACTAGAACCCAGGGTTTGTTAGACTGAATGAACTGGTTACCAAGCTTGGACATGTTTAAAACAACTTTCAACCCTTCTCTAAGCCTGAAATAGAAACATAAGCATCTAAGGACTGGCCACTAGGGAGACAGTGAGTTTCGGCCATGAAAAGGGGAGAATTACCAACCTCGTTCCCAGGGTTCTTTCCTACCCGTCCCTGGGACGTAGAGACGGGTAGGAGAGAACCCTGGGAACGAGGTTGGGAAATCACTTGCTCAATCCAACTGGTTCTTAAGATTTCCCGCGGTTTGAAGGTACACGACCTGATCACGTGCGAGACTAAATTTCTCAAGGGACAGTTTTGACCTATAGCACGTGACAAGTTCTTCGTCGAATCTGAAAACGCGTCTGAGATTGGGGTCTAACAATAGATCGTTTTCCCTCACGTGCTCAATGGCTATGCAATTTTTCAAACCAAAAAAAACCGTTTTGAATGATAGAAGAGTTCAATCCTCATGTTCAATCCACATGATTTTTTTGGTACACCGACATAACCCCCCTTTCATTGTTTTGTACAATATGGGCGACGTGACGTCATGTGAAAACGCTCTACACGTGCTGGCATTTATTCAATTATTTTTTTCTTTCCTCTGCTTTTAAAAATATTACAATCTTGTGCACCTTTCTAAAGCAAAAACAAAGAAGACCTACCTCATTTTCTCATTATCATCTATGTAGGACTTGAGTTCTTTGTTGATGAGTGCTATGAAATTCTTGTCGTCTTCAGTAAGGTCCATTTTTGGTACAACACCTCCAAAGTTATTAGACACAAACATCAACGCCCTGAAAACGGTCATTTTATTTAAAAAAAAAAAATATAAACAAACAAAAAATTATCGCTGCTATGCAATCATTTAGATTTAGGGCTGGACAGTTTGTTGTCAAATGTGCGGGTAGGCTCGATTACCAAGCGCTGCTCGGGAAATGAGTCCGACACATCCCCCTCCCCTCCCCCCGAGAGATTCTTCTCGGGGAGGACCAAGACTGGGCCTGAGAAAGCGGCATAAATCGAGCCTCGTTTGAGAGAGGGATAATGGGACTGCGAAGTAGTTAGATGACGCAGTGAGATGTCTTCATAAATCTGGTATGATTGGTTGGTTTTAAGGTCTAATGGCCATTCTGAGGCTGAGTGAGACTGGGTCAGAGTTGTGTCGAACTGCACTATGGGGCTTCTTTGGAGAGGCTATCACTTCTTTTATTGGCTTATACGAGGTTGCGCAAGGGACTGGGTCAAAAGGAAGGTAACAGATAAGAGAGGTTGATAGGTAGCTAGATACGGCAACAGAATGTCTTCATAAATCTCGTAGAGTTGTCTTTTGGTCGGAAGGAGGTTAGACGTGTGGGGAAGAGGATCATGGCGGAAAATGACTATAATTGGTCTCGCGAAATACACTTACAGGCAATGAAAGGTTCTAGATGTATCATACGGCGCGTTGATCTTGTAAGATGTTTGATAACGTCTAACGTTTATAACAGTGGGTACAATGAGCTAAAGATACGATAACCAAATCAGTTTAAAAAGCCTTACCTGTTGACGAAGTTTCCAAAATTGTTGAGTAGTTCATTGTTGTTCCTCGCGACGAAATCATTCCAGCTAAAGGCACTATCCTGTAGGGAAAAATCAAAATAAGTCAAGTAAGACACCACTTAAGCCAGAAAATGGAGAAAATGGTGCACTGTACATCATAAGACATCAAAATCACTGAGCAACCTCTTATTGGTATCTACTTCACATAACAAGCAAGCATGACTAGGGAGTTTGATTAGTGCAACCGTGAGGTGAAGATGGCTGAATACTGGCCAAGTTCGTTTTGCGTTTTTGATCTAACACTAACTCCAACCCATAAAAACACAAAAACAAAAAACAAACAAAAAAAAAAAAACAAGCAAACGAGCTGAATATCCAGCTATCTTGACTAAGCATACGATTTATCACTCATTCAAATTATTTCGCCGTTTCTGATTGGCTTCAATCTATTTCCTCTTAGCAGAGGTATCCATATAATGATAAAGGCTGTCACAAGAGACCACGGACTAACCTGGTTCTCAGGTCGCATGTAGAGAAGGTAAAATCTCCAGATGTCTGCTGGGATACCGGTATCTGCGGCATCATTGCCAAAAACTCCAACCCCACGACTCTTGGAAAATTTGTCATCTTCATAATTAAGGTATTCTGAAGAATGAAATGAAATGAAATGAAAATTCGTAATTTAAATCAGCAAGATTACTTGCCATTTACGGAACGTTGAGATTGTTAACAAGAGTGAATCTTTGTTCTGCAAACAAACAAAAAGGTTTTTGTTCTCTTCGTTGATTTAATTCGACTACTGAGTCGACTAATCTAGCTGTTTTGCGATGTTGTGAGGCCGATCTTGATTTACTGGCCGGTAGATGAATGAATGCGTTACATTGAACTTTCTTTCTTTTTATGTAGCTAACAAGTTGACACTATCAATAACCAGCTTACAAGTTGGCACTCACTATAACAAGTTGACATTAACAGTAAGTAGCTTACAAGTTCTTACCTGTTGCACTAATCGAGTTAAGAAGCGTGTAATTATCGTCGGCACCGATCTCAGTGCACGGAAATACGACAGTGTGGAAAGGCACGTTATCTTTCGCCATAAATTGATGCAGAGTAACCTGGGGAAAGAATATAAAATATACGATTTACGATTGACAAACTCTGTCATAATCCTTTCGTTCCACAAATCACATACTTCAAAATTCATGAAAAATTCACAGTTTTATTTTGGCAGCTACTAACAAACAAATAATACCAAGCTTAAGTGCTGCCGAAGAGAAGAGGTTTTATTTGAATGGTCACAGCATAGGGTTTCGCGGCTGACAGGATCAAAATAGTACCATGTGATAGTAATGCTGTAGCGGTTTCTTTCGAATGGTCACACTGCCAAGAATTACAAAGTTAGAGAGTCATTTACGCGTCCCATTTAGCTGGAACTATTTCACAACAACACGTGCTATCATTGGCTACATCAATGTCACATGACATCTCATTAAGTCTCTCAGCGAAGAGTATATTAAAAATCCGTAATGTCAGAGGATAACAATACAATTTCCGCTACTTTGTTTCCATGTTGGATCAGTTGTTGCGCTATACAAAAAATCAGTTAATGACTGGTCCTTGGAGAAGACAGTTAATTTCGGTTCCCCTTGGATAAGTTACAGAGTTAAATGCCCTTGCTGACCCTGAAGTTTCCCCATACAATACTTTGACAAAATAGACGACAAAAATAAGACCTCCTACCAAAATCAAGTATGGAAAAATGACGCATTTTGGCCATCGTGAAACTTCATCCCTGATTTCGTGGGAGAAGATTGATCTCTGGTCACTACTATTTTAATGTTCTGCAGTTGGCATAGAGGGGTGATGTGACGACCACCATCTAATGGAGTCCTCCTTCTTTGCTATGCTACTCACTTGTTGAGGATTTTTCCACCATTTTTCCCACTCTTTTGTGTAATTAGCAGTGATAGAGAAGTACCTAAAATAACAACAAAACTCTTCAAACTTTATTCTACTCCTGGATTTCTGAACACTCGCTTCATGGTAGAGCTTGGGTCACGCTTTTATCGATATCAGTAATCGAAAAAACATCGCAAACTTAAGGGAGAGATAGTCGCGTCACAAAAATACGTTGGACACATTGACAACATTCCCTCGGCATTCCGATGGTTTGTGTTTCTATGGAAACTGTAAGCACAAAAAGAGCGCTAGTGTTTTTCGCTTGAGGGTTTTACAGGGATAAAATTAATTAAAAAATTGAGTAATGGTTTTTCGCCACTCCCAATCTCTTTTGTTCGAGGTAATTTTGTGAATTCGCGAGTGTCCACTGAAAAACTGTAGTATACAAGTTGACGGCGGCATCGAACGGAAATCAAAGAAATATTTTAACAATAATACAAAACAATAACGAAAAAAATGGAAATGTAAAATTTCAAATCATAGTAACTGTTAGACTTTAAATTTGATCTTGTTGAATAATCGTGCTTAAACCAAAGTCAGTCAAACTTTATTATCAGGTAATCTGCAGTTTGCGGTTCCACTTAATTTTTTTGAACCTTTTGGCTTCATTTCTATGGCGGTATGCTGTCATGTAGAGCATGGAAAATTGTCATCTAATAGACCTAGTTCACGATGTCCGCCATCTTTGCACGCACTTTAGGACTGACGGGATATAAGCAATGTCACGTGGTACCTCAGGCGGCAAACAAGTGATAAAATTTGCCAATATAAGTAATCGCGGTCGCGTTTGTTTATTTTCTCAAAACAAGACGACGATTTTTAACTTGCAAAATGCAAAGTTCGAGTTTCGACAAGTTTTAAGTCATAAACGTAGTGCTTGCTGTGAGGCCATCTACAGTTGCTGCCGCAACCAAAAAGTAAAAATATATGATCAGTTCCTGCAAGTTCCACCTAAAAATTTGCTAGCATGGTCTTTAAGATAAAAAGTTCTTCATTTCCTGTTGCCTAGAATAAACAAAACCGACCGCAATTTCTTGTCTCAGAGGATTCATTGTTGGCCCCTGGGAAATCACGTGCCACTGCTTGTTTATCCCGTCAGTCCTTGAGCGGGAGAAAATATGGCGAGTATTGCGAATGAGGTCTGTCGTTAAATATCTTTACCACCTCTTACCCTATAGGTGCGTCGAACCACACGTAAAATACTTTGTCCGTGTATCCCTCCAAAGGAACTGGGGTGCCCCATTTCAAGTCACGTGTTATACAGCGAGGTCTGAGGCCGTCTTGGATCCACCCGCGGGTAATATGGCGCGCGTTCGATGTCCACGTTCCTGGGGAAAATTCTGTTCTTAGGATACGAGTACACATATTCACTCATCCCATTGAGTCTAAACAATGCGTTTAACTCTGCTGCGACTGTGACTACATTTAGTCCTTGTAAGATAACCTTTACTAGTCTTAAACTATTAGTTTTTCTAGTTTCACGTTACCTTCACTAGATGATTCTTCGACCCAACTTTTTAGCGACGGCTCAAGCTATAAAAAATGAAGAAGAATCCACAGAGTAAGAATTCTAATTCACTTCGAGTTGGGATGATAACCTTGAAATAATCTAATTGTGCGAAAACCAAAAGAGACAGTGAATAAGTTTCTTTTTATCGTTTCCTTAAGCCTGCAGAATCGGATCGATTACAACCTTTTTTTAAACGGATCAAAATCATCTTTCTCAACTAACACAATAGTGTCAAGGAAACGAACTCGAGCTTTACTTGCACACAAACCGATTTAAACAAGCAAAACAAAAAAATTGCCTAAAAAGCACTTGTTGTAGCATTGACTCATTTTTTCCAGACGTTTTCTAGGTCTAGAAAATTGCTAGGCAAATTTCAAGACTTTTTCAAGAATTCAAGACTCTGTACGAACCCTGTTCATTTGGCAGTCACCAAATACTAGAGTTGAACTTACTTATGGTGAAAGCAACTTATATTAACAGAAGTAGTTTGCAATGTACCTTGGCCAAGTTTAAAAATAAGTGCTTGCTGGATCTCACTTTTGGCGCTCCCCCACAGACTTTACAGCGAGGTTTCTGGAAAGGAATTTTGTTTGATATAAAATCAATCGGCAATCTTAAAATGCAAAATAGCGCAACGTTACCAACGAAGAAAGCAATCTTTACCTTAAGTTCAATGGCGTTAATAAGCTTTCCACAAGAATCACACTGGTCTCCTCTGGCGTCCTGACGAAGAAAAAAAGAGGATTACATAACTACTCACATCGGAAATTCAAAGCTTGGTTTTTGCATAGAATTGCAAGACTGTGTGAAAAAAAGACTATTTGCTGTTACACTGCAAGTTGCTATCTCAAACGTCTCTTATTTGATTAGGCTGCAGCTGTGCAAGAATTAATAGGGAGCTTCAGCATCGATGACGGCGACGCCAGCGAAAACATCACTTTCAACAAGAATTCGCGTTTTTTTCCAAACATTTTCGCGTTTATGTCAGTTAGCTGAAAATGTCAAATGTTGGTGATTTTTTTGGAGTAGATTTCTCGGGGACCGTACTCAAGTTTAGAAAGAGAAAGAAATATTTGTCGTCGCTTGTTTACGTTCTCCTACAAAGTGAAAGTGGGGGGTTTTCACGTCGTAGTCGTGCAAGAACGGCAAAGAAATAAACAAAAAAGTGTGATGCACGTGCAAAGTTGTTTGCTTAATAAAACTATTGCTTTTTTGACACTCTCGTTGCCGTCGCCGTTGCCGTTGTTAAAGCTCCCTAAAATTTCAGTCAAGACATGGAAAAAATGAGCTGCAAGAATGAGGTAAAATCGAGTTTTCTCAAGTATTACCTCGTAGTTGCAGAAAGGGCAGGTACCTTCAACGAAACGATCAGCTAGAAATCTGCAAATAAACGGAGACGAGTTGTCAACAAATTGGCTATTTTGAAGCTGCGGTAGCATGGAACCGTACAGGGGACCAACGAGTCACATGGTTTAAGAAGACCCAATATTTTCATGTTTGGGCACCCCAAAATTTCCATCTACACGATTAAAATGAGGGCGCTGTCCATTAACACCTATCATGTGTCACAGGACTAATGAAACACACCAATAGTCAGAACTGGCCACCCCAGTTAAATAATATGCACAACACTGAACGATTTTTGACGAAGACTCTTGAAAAAAAGCCTATTTAATTGTTAATAATGACTGGCCAGCCGTCCGGTTCTGAGTTTTTGTTAAGCGCCCTTGACTTTCATGTGGTCTTGCCCCGCCCCTAAATTTTTTGGCCCCACAAACCACATCATTTACGCGATACAAATTGAGGAGGGTTCGAACATATAATTTTAGGCATTTGAGTCAACATTTTTAGGGATGCTGGGCTAAAACCGGCCGTATGTACTAAAACACGGAACATGGAACACTTCCGAACACGTCAAATAAAAACAAAAACAAAGGAATCAAGTAAACAGAACATTTGTATTGTAAAGATTAGGGTTGCTTTCTGTTTGTATTTTGCCAGGCGTTCCGGGGTGTTTCGGAGTGTTCGAGCCTGAGAAAACAGCCGATATATCGCGACGCCGCACCACTGGTTTTCCCGCGAAAAAGACGTCGGAGCAACGAGAGGAGAAATTCCATACTAATGACGTGTCACTACCCAGATCTAGGTAGTGCTTCTGATTGGATGAAGCGAATTTTTAACCAATCATAAGCACCACCCAGAACTGAGTATTGACGCGTCATCAGTATGGAATTTCTGCGCTCGTTCCTCAGACGTCATGTCGCGGGAAAATCAGCGGTAGCGTCGCGAAATGTTGGCTGGTTTCTCAGGCTATAGTGTTTCTCGTGTTATCAGGTGACGGCTTAAAGAAAATATCTAACGGGTTAATGTCTGTAATGTCTGTAAATATCTAACGGGTTAATCCTTTAAGCCCTAAGAGTGATCAGCATGAAATTTCTCCTTACAAACATCAATGCTTTAGAAAACATAGTGGTCATAAGAATTGAGTACATGATCAAGGAAGTTGAGTCTAATTGATATTTCAACAAATTCTCCCCACTACTTCTATTGAATTGTATAGGGACAGTAAATGAGAATCTCCATTTTAATATCAGGGGTTAAAGGGTCAAACAGTAACAAAGGCTTACCTTTTGCACTCCTCGCATTGAAGTTGCTCAAGTGTGTCCTCTACCAAGTGATCTCGCTTGTGAAGCCGCCAAAAAATGTCTTGTGCAATGCTGTTGAGAACAACATAGGTTTTTTTTCTCCTATACTCGTTAAATCGCGTTCGACGACTTGTTAGTGACACCGTGGAAGATCATCCACCAAAAGAAGGGGAAGCTTTGCAAAAAAATTCGCACGTAGTCTTAGTTGTTCTTGGGTCAAAAAGTATCAACAACCTGTTATCTTTTCGCCAGTTACAAAACGCAGAAATGTATGACCCAGAAGCGATAATGAGACTACTTTTCACTCCAAAATTGACAAAGGAAAAATGTAGACAAAGCTACAACCTTGCACAAAATGTGTTGAGACGCATCACAAAAATTACTATTTTTTCCTCTCATCCTGACAAAAATGAAAACTGTCGCTAAAACAATGACCGTTCCCCCCCTTTCCTTATCCAGTGCTGTTTATAGTAACATGAGAATTATACAAGTTGATTTAGACCAAAAAGGCATTAAAAGGGGGAGGGGGGTGTCTTAGTTTTTTGTTTACAGGAGATGGTAGCACGGCGCAAATCTAGAATACGACAGAACTGTCTTAACATTATTTTTCTGAGCTTGTAGTTACATACTCGGTTTGTTCTTGCGTTGTGGTCCTTCCGAAGAAATCGAACTTGATTTTGAACCATTCATAGACTTCCTTGTGGATTTTGAAATACTTGTCACAAATCTGCTGAGGTGTAAGGCCTTCTTCTAACGCCTGGTAACAAAAAACAGCAACCTGTCATTTCGTGGAAACCACACAAAACATCACGCGACAAATCATAAATATTTTAAGACAACATAAGTCCTACCCAGTAACTACTTTACTTGGACAAAACAAAGTTGGGTCGGACTCAACTAAGGCCACATTATGCCGCTTAAACGAAAATTGTTTATGGTAGATGCGAGATTTGCAAGAAGATTTTAAAATTGCTACCATATATTCACGAAATGATGCCATCAGCTTCGTTGGTATAACAATTCAATTTCCACAGCGTAGATTTCATTTATCATCTGCAAAGTGATAGCCTTTGCAGTTAACTTTTGTCTGACTACCGTTACACAAGTAAAATCTCAACAGACATGCACCAATTTTAGTTGGATATTGTCTCAAAACCTAAGAAATCTTTTAGCTAGCAAGGCTGAAAACTACTACCTGTACACAACAACGCCGAGCAATGATCTGCACACACAAAAACAAAACATTACCTTTGTTTCCGTGGCAGTACCGTATTCATCTGTCCCGCAGATGTAAAGTGTGTTATATTGACGAAGGCGACAATATCTGTTCAAACGATATAAAAAATCTGTTAAGCCCCGGCTAAACGTTCAAACATCTTCGTCTAACACCGCGTTGGAAGAGCAAGTTTTACCGTTTAGCCCCCACTCTCAACGTTGCATTTAAATGGCTTTTCGCACCAAACATTTTGCATCACAAACAATTGCTTGCTCGTTTAGCCACAATACATGACCAACACAGTGTAGGGTAAGAACTGTTTGCTCGTTGTGCGGGTGCCTTATACAATAACACAAGGTAAGCTTTCAACAACGCCAGGAGAATCTAAACCTCCCCTCTCCCAGCCGAGATATTCCTTTTGCCCCGCTTGAGGGATTCAAGATTCCGTAATCCAGGAAACTTCGGATTTTGGAATCTGGATTCCAGGAAATTTTCTCTGTTGGAATCCAGAATACAGCTCAAAGAGAGCAGAATCCCACTCAACAATTGGAAAGCAGTATCACCGACAAAGAATCCGGAATCCAGTCCATGGAATCCAGAATCCAATGCTTCCTTACAGGCAGTCTAGGTTCACGAATGTACTAACAGCCATACAGATGGCTCCTCTTTTTAAAGTTGCGGCTGGAAAATGTCTTTTCTTACTTGAGCCTTCTCGAGTTTTCCATGAACTTAGATTGAGCGATGGTTTTAAATTTTGCCAAAGCGATCACTGGCTCATCTAATTATTTTCAAAAGGAAAATGAGCAATAATTTGTGATTTCGTGTACTTTCGTGTACTATTCACGGCTTCCTATTTCCATGAATAACGCTTTTAAATTCAACGACTTTTTAAACCTGACGAATTTATATTAAGAAATACGCAGATTTTCTTTGACCTGATGAACTAAGTCGGTAGGCCAACGAGAGAACTTCGTAGAATGAGATTAGTCTTTCAAGATGGTTCCTCGAAAGAAAAAAAAATCAAGAAAAAAAGAGAAAGCCGAGGGGTACTGGGGAGGAGGATTACTCCACTCTCCAGTTCTAATAGACTTTCAAAAAAGTCCTTCGACGGATTTCATATGGCGCGGGACGACTTCGTCGCTCGCGGTCGGCCGTTTTGCGGCCAAAAAAGGCTCGCTCCGCTCGCCAAGAGGTCGATTTGTAGCAAGTCTACAGTTCTAAGAGCCTTGACTCAACTGAATCAAAAGGGACTACCCGCAAACTACGAGAAAGCTTGCTCATAACAATAGAATTACCTGGCAAATGCGTCAGCACTAAGCACACAACCAATAATGTTTCCCAGATGAGGTACATTATTCACGTACGGCAAGGCGCTAGTGATCAGAATATTCTTCTCTCCTTCCAAAGGAAGACTGTGTAGTAAAGAAAAGATTATGTTTAGCAAAAGGAGCAGAAACAATAATGAAACAACTAGCTGCAGCAAAAATACATACAACAACGAGATTTTCTCAATACTAAGTAGTACGCGCGCGTGAACCAGCCTCATTTTGGCGGGAAAACGTAATAGCCGTCGTCATTCTACTATACGTGTCTTAGCGAGAAAAAAGAAGCTCGGTGAGGGTGGTAAATATGTCACTTAAGTTATAAAATGCATTCGCGTTCTTTCACATGTAAAATTTATCTTGATTATTACAACTCGTTCAGTTTGTCAACTGTTGACGAATTTTGCTAGAGCTTAATTCTTACATGAAGTGTCCACAAAAACCTTCAAAAAGAGAGCAAGCATTCTTTACCGTGCGTTTACGTCTGTCTTACAGAAAACATCACATTATACAGTCTCAATGGTAGTGGTGCAGTAACGCCAAAGGAATGTACCAAAAAACGTGGTACAGGAACAAAATTGCTGTTTTTCTCTCTTTTTCCCATTAAACCTATTTTTTTGACGCTCCCGACCCAAAACAACGTCGTCACGTTGTTAAACAAGAGACGTTTAACCGCTCCTCTTAAAAGCGAATTCAGTCAAAACTTGACAACATTTCCAAACTTCATTTGGTAAAGTGCTGAAAAACATATAGCGCCATATGAAAGTTCTGGCAAAGAGGTTTCATTCGACTGGTCACACCGCGGAATTTCGTCCACGCACTCAAAAGTTAAAACAAGCCGCGGCATGAGATGGCGTACTTTTCGCACGCCAGCTCATCGTCATATCACGAAAATGTAGCCTCTGCTCTCTGCTCACAGGGCAAACTCCATTATTCACTCTGGAAGTAAAGGGGTTGAGCCGTTTGATCTAGCATCAGACTGCTCCAACGTTTCATGTTACCAAATCCTGAACAAGACCTTCAAACGGCGATAATTTTACTATTACTAATGACACTTACACGGGTTTAGCAAGGCGGCGAGCCTTAGGTCGCTTCTTGCTGCCATTATTCCAGCTTTTGACAGCTTCATCAATCTCTTCCTTTGAACAGACTTTTGGTTGACTTGCCTGCAACAAAGCAAATAGTCACGAACTCATCAATGGGGAAATACTATTCAGTTACTTATAGAAATTTTCTCTATCCCACGCGTGAGCTCCTGTTTGACAATGCGATGTGTTGTTGTCTATTCTTACATGTGCCGAATATTTTTCATAACCGCGTTGCACAGACATTTGCAAAGGGAAGAATAGGGAGCTTGACGATGGCGACGGTAACAAGAACGTCAAATCTTCAAAAAAGCAGTAGGTTTAAGGTGATGTTACACGGGATGATTCGCCAAGACGGTTTTTAGCGCAACACAATGTTGAAACAGTGTTGTAACCATGAGAAACAAGGTCGTAACAATGTTGCAACAATGTTGCAACCGCTGCGTTGGGCCCTTGAAAACCCGGTAAGCTGTTGCCGTTTACATTAAAGGTCGTTTCAATCGTTTTAGATCCCATGATAAAACTATCACCAAAATGGAGTTTTGCTAGGGGACCCGCGCTCTTATTCTTTATATTTCGATTTGAATATTTGATTTCGGGCCCGTAAAGTTACCGGGACTTTCGAGAAACGGGCTCCTGTTTACATAGGGGTGGGGACCCCAGGTAGGTGGGGTAACCCACCTGTCTATGTAATCTCTCATATCGTCACCCCATCAACTCCACAAAAATTCACCGACATTTGACAAATTGAACGACATGAAAGAAGAAGAGGGAAGGGAAGGCAGATATCTGGTGAGCGAAAACGCGGGGACTCGCGAGGCAGGCGGAAGAATTGTCGCGTGCCGATTTTTCCCCTCATTTTCGTCAACCGCGAGGCACAACAATTAAATGACAACTCACCTCTTCTAGTGAAGGATCATCGTTCCTATTTTCTTTCTGTGAAGGCTGTGAACCTAGACAAAACCAAAGAAAAGAAAAAAAAACATATTTTATACCTAATTTCATTATTATTGCCGAGAGTCCTAAATTAAAATATCAAAAAACCCCAACTCTAGGTCCCTAGTAGGTGACAAAAATACTACAGACCCAGGTCTCTAAAGATAAAAACACTCCAAAAAACATCTGCTACTGTGACAACTACCTTTCAAACTCTGCTTGGCTTTAGTGGTTTCCTGAGATTTTGAACTGGATTGAACTTCATGCCCAGACATTGCTAACAATGATCCCTAGGAAAACAAAAAGTATTCTTTAAATCGAAAATAAATGATAGGTTGAAACTCGGACCTCAGTCTGAGGTGCTGTTCACAGGGATCTCAACTCTGGGGACAAGAATGTACATGTACATAGAGTTGCAAGGCCTGGAAGAGGAATTTCCAGTATGCTAACTACTGCAAACCATTGCATTGTTTCCACGGTAACACACAGCAAACGATGGCCACAGTGGCAAAAATGCAAAAGAGGAAATGGCGTTCTTTCAATCACTATCACAATTATTCCAACTCGCTTACTTTGTCAAATGCAAGCGAAGTCTTCTAGAGTTGAAACCATAAAAGACATATCCAAGTTCAGAAAGAAAAAGTTTATTTCGTAGTGTTTCTTACGTGCTCTATAAAAAGTATTCGCTGCCATCACTGTTGTAGCATCATAAAGTTCTAATTTTTCTTACCTTGAAGGCGATCACACCTTTGTTCCCCATTACTTCAGAATTAGTTTTACTAAACACATCTTGAGTCATGAGATAACTATGCCACCTTGCTATATTGCTGATCTGTGGGACTGCAAGATGAAAGGAGTCAAGGAATGAAAAGGAAGAGTTGGAGATCTTTTTTTTAAATTTCACTCCCAAGTTGTTTGGCATCAAACTGCAGACAGGTCAAGGTTCGAGAAAAAAAATTAAAGCAGGGAGAGACGCAGCTCTCACATCTTGCTTACCTAGGGTTGTTGCTTTCTGGACTAAGTTAATGATTTAGTTACTGGGACAGCCATGAACACCAGAAATATTTCTGGAATGTTATTGTGTTGCAAGAAAAAAGCCAATCATGAGGTGTAAGAAAACTGAACCACAAGCAAGAACATGAATTAATTTGTGGTTTTGTGGCTAGTATGCATGTCCTCCCTTTTCCCGGGCTAGTCATGATTTTAATAAACATTCTGAGATATTTCAAGTTCTTAACGCCCAACAGGCAAGCACTGTAAAAGACCTTACAAAAAATAATCAACACATATCAGAAGAACTGTGAAATCAATTTTTCATCAAAATTTTTTTTTTTGAGCTAGTTGAAATGACATTTGGGCCAGGAAAAGAGAAATTCAACTTGCCCAAATGGCAATGTAATGTTCTTTTTAAATATAAACACCAATGAAATACCAAACCATTTCACTGGGTTTTGTGGCTAGTATGCATGTCCTGAGCTTTGCTGTGATTGGTCATGATAAAATAAACATTCCTGAGATATTTCAAGTGGTTACGGTTTTTCTGGTAGCACTGTAAAAGACCTTACACTAAAAATAATTGCTTGCATATAATTATACTGTACATACCAGACAAACTAGATTCAGCAAGTAGTAAAGGATGAAGTGAGCCCCAAAGGACCACATCAGCTAAACCAAGTTGATCCTGTTGCAAAGAAAACATTACAAAATACATGATCAAAATACATTCTTAAGGTACTTCAGGGAACATGCTGGTAGTTTCAAACATAAGATGCTTTGTCTTCATTTAAAACTTAAACACCAAGAAATGGGCCCACAAAGCACAGAAAAGATACTTTAGACTAATTTTTCAGAGTCTGGGAATTGGGCAAAAAACGTGTTGAGTGTCTGATGTAGCTTCTTAAAATGAACATAATTTCTGAAACAAATTTTTCAAAAATTTTTAATAGTAGTGATTTCTGTTGTCAGTTTTTCTTCATGAACTACTCATGGATTTGAGAAATATTTATTTGCACTTTTTGGGTCTCAGGCCTTATATTAATAGTCATTAATATTATATACCACTCATTAACCAAGAGTAATGTCAATACAGGGATATCTCAGACCAAGGCCTTGATGTATCGACTGAGTTTACAGTTATAGCGAGGTGGATACATCAAGGCCAAGGTCTGGGATTTCCCTGTAATGACTGAATGGGCGAGGTTAAAAAGTCATTTATTATATGGCCTGTTTAGCACTATTAATATAAAACACAGGAAGTAATTGAGACTGCAATCAATTAAAACCAATAATAAATAATTGAGCACGCGATACAGTCATGTGACACTGGTCAGCAGATACCCTTTTTTGACAGCTGTCAATTGACCATAACATGGATGTCCACTATCAAGTTAAACACAGACTATACATGCCTTGAACACCTAGCTGATGATGTCTGGTCTTTACAAGGAAACCTTTTCCCGCTCAGCAGCCAATCAGAGCACACTACTATTATAGCCATATAAAGATGTTTGAAGAATTTTATAAATGTAATAAAAAATTTTCAGCAGTATACTCTACCCCAGAGAAAAACTTATTTGACGATAAAGCCCCATCTGCATGACTCAGCAGATTTGTCAGATCCTCAATGTGTCCACTATCTTTTTTTCCAAGACCAACGGACAGCACAAGATGTGAGAATAGTACAGGCTGCATTGGAACAAAAAATATAGTAATCATGTTAAATGCTAACTGTAAAACAGAAAACTACAAACAAATATTTTTGGAATGTTATTGTGTTGCAAGGAAAACCCCAATAAAAAAACAAGAAGCAATGGTAATTAATTTGTGGTTTTGTAGTCTGCTTCTGCACCCTTATCTTAATATTTCAGGTGTTGTTTGTAAGTTTGTCAGAAATGAAATGACAAGCATGAAAAGTCCTTCCATGAGCTGGCCCGCCTGACTTAGTGATGCTCAAGACATGATGTACACTCACACCCCACCCACTGGTCAATAAAACAACTTTTAAAAATGTATTCTCATACCCTACCCAATGAGCAGAAATTGACCTAAAAAGGTACCTTCCACCCTAGCCACTATCCAATAACTGACCAAAACTGTACCACACCTTTCCCCACTTAACAACAACTGACTATTATTGTACCCACCCACTCTACCCACTGAAAAAAAGTGGCCTGTTAAAAAGTACTCCCCAAGCCTTTCTCATTAATAAAAACTGTACCCACCCACTCTACCCACGGATAAGTAACTGACATATAATAAAGTACTCTCCCACCCTTCTCCAATAATCAATAACTGACTGTAACTGTACACAACCACTGCCAAATAAATGACCTCTAAAGAGACACTCTTCCACCTCTACCCAGTGATAAATAACAAACTTACCAATCCTGACTCTACCCAGTGATAAAATGATAACTGACCTGTAAAGATGTACTCTCCCACTCCAACCACTGGTCAATAACAGCTTCTGTTTCAGGATCAGCATTTTCTTTGGAGTTTGCATTGAGCTCAAGAAGATATCTACGACATATAAATTGAATGCATTGAAATAATCCTGTTCATGTAATTTCTGTGGCAGTTATTATGGCTGTTGTTTAACGATGCATATTTCTTTTAGCCTTTGTTGTGCTTTAAAATAGAAGGACTATAGTTATTTTAATTTCAGTATACTGTAATACAGAGTTTTGGAGTCTGTCTTCAGATTAACTGCCTGGTTACGTAAAGGCCCATCGAACTTGTTTGTTTTTTTATAACTGGGACTAATTGGGTCTGGACTGGGACTCATGACTTTTCACAAGATGAATCCAATGACTCACCATAACTATCTGTAACAAAATCACTGATATACAATCATATACGGAGATTAAGTCAAAGATGACTTAAGAAGTAAAAACAAAGAATTATCTAAAGCAAATCCTTTATTGACTGAAGTTTAATTTTTCTGTTCAAGATGGCTGGATATTGGCCTCATTCTTCTTTTTATGTTTTCATTTATCTTATTGGTACTCAATTTCGTGATTTTAGCAAGATAGGATTGAGCAGGTTTTTATTTTTGCGATTTCAATAAGAAAATATGAAAAAGAGCATTAACTTTTGCAATTCAGGCATTCTCAACTTGATTTTATTTTTCAATCTTCTGAACTTTTTAAAATATTGAGATAAAATGAAACAAGCAAAATGCATATTAACATAATTTCAAAACAGAAGACACAGTCACAGGATGGAATGTACTAGTAAAACCAGCTCCACCTGTAGTAATTATTTTGTCAATATTTGTGGACACATATAACCTGTACAGTGTAAGTTGTAGTTATTAAATATTATTCATTTTTTTCCTGTGGTTTGAATTTTCTATATGGGTGATAAATTTCATGTGACTGTTTAATTTTTGTTGGGTCTTTTTATTTACGGGTCTTCGATTTCGTGATTTTTCCTCAATCTCAAAATAAACCAAATTAAAGACCCAAGAAATCAAGTACAAAAAAGAAATATTGCTTTTTTTTTTAAATTGCAACAAAGAACTTGGCCAATATCCAGGCACCTTGAGCTCTGCTCACACTTTGTCAATGATGCAGTGTAAAAGTTACATGTACCTGCAGATGCTATTAGCACTGTTGAGTAAGTTCCCATTCTCAGTTTCAAGCACTGGAAGCTGCAAACAAATCACACTGATTACAAGAAACAGCACAATCTTAAATTAAGGAGACAGAATTAGCTGACACCTGTTGATAATAGAAAAAAAATTATATCTTTTGATACTAACCTTACTGTGTCCTGGCAAACGAAATTTGTTTCTCTCTGAAAAAAAGAGTCACGTACACTTGCAAACAAAAATGGTGATTGGGTATTCACTTTATAAATGTTGTAGTTAATTTTTTATCACAGGTAATTTTTATTTTTCCTTTGTTTCAACTAGATTAGCATACATTACCATACCCAAAATCAAAAGAAAAACAAAAATTACCTGAGATAAAAAATCAACTACAACATATACTTATTTATTATTGTTGTTTTTTTTGGGCAGGGGATGATGGGGGCAGTGGTTTAGGATGGAGGAAATGGTCCCTTACCTGTACCCCACCTAGACAGAACAGGATGCCCAGGGTGCTTTTCAATATCCCAAAACAACCAGTCAGACACCAGGAGAACTAACCAAGGGTAAATGGAATGACATTGCTCAACTGAGGCAAAGATTCCAATGGGATCAAAGCGTTCGATTCACATATTGACCAAAATTTTGATTAAATTCATTGAGGTGGGACTGGAAACATTATTTTTTGGAAATGGAAGGGGAAGTTTCGGTCGGATTGAACAGACTGGTCAAAAAGGACCACCTCTCCTGGGAAAGGGGGAGGGCACTATTTCTGGAAAATTTCCACCCAGAAATATTTCATTTATCATTTATATTTCGACTAAAATTCTGACATAATGGAAGGCACCCCCCGACGTCTCCCCAGACCTGACCCTATTGGCTCATTCAGGAGAGTCAATTCCCTAGGGAGCCAGGAGTTATAATCTGCTAGGACTCGACCAACATGTTAAATGTGTTAAAATGCTACCAAACGTTATTACATCCCGGTTTGTGAAGATTTCTTTACGATTCGTCGAAATAATAAGATAATACGTTCCAACGAGTACAAAGTTGTGGGATAAAGGAAGTGAGCTTTTTTTAGAGCATACGCGATCTCGCAAAAATTTATTTTGTACAAAAATCGATTGAAACCGAGTGACAGATTTTCCATGAAAATTGAAGCAGTATTCTTTTTCTCCCTACATTAAGTTTCACTCTTTCTAAAGGAAGTAACAACAATCTTACCTTCATAATTGATGTACTGTACCGTCAACGGAATGCCTGCTAAATTTTTTGCCGCTAAAATTCGAAGCAACATCGGGTTGCCTTGATCACTATAAAGCTTCATAATAGAGCCAATTTTACTTGATATAAATTTTCGATAGACTGGAGTGCTTGTTAAAAATGTAGACCTCCGGAAAGCGCTAAATTTTACCCCGGAAAAGATCCAAAACATCTGATGCAAGAAGCACAAATCCAGAATTTCACGAGTGAAAACCTGGTTTTTATGGATGAGGAGAATTGGGACGAGTTTAACCGCTGTCTTTTTATTATGGGCTCTTAAAAGGGTGATTGAAGTATCCGTACATGGAGGAGCTATTTGCCGCTTTTACTAACCTTGCAGGCTCAAATTACGGCAACATCCTCGGTGAAAGGGAACTGCATTTGGAAACGTGTCCGAATTTTGAAGATCGAAGCATTTTTTCGTGGAAAAACTTAGTTTAAAGAGGTTTGGCCGTGTAGTTACTTTTAAAAGAAACATGTCAAATTCACAGAGGCTAGCCTTCGCCATAATCGAGCACCTCTCCGCGCAGTTGAAGTCTGGAGCTGTAGTCGGTGACTCTGCTGAGAGTTTAGAAGGTAAACCTGATGGATCTTTACTTTCGTTTCAGTTTTGATAATTTGGGCGCAGGTAAAAAACGTTAAGCTAGACGAACACCATTCAAAAGTTATGGTTTATTGAAGCTTAGAGACAAAGTCTCCGTCAAGAGTGGCTTGCATCGTGTCTAGATCTGTTTAAGTGAAAATATTTGTAACGAACTGTAATTTGTGGTAAACCCAATTTGTCACATGCAGAAAGAGGAAATATGTGCAGTAGATAGTTTAGAACTAGACTTCTTCTGTTAGGTGAAGTTGAACTGATATTGATTTTACTCCTGTGGTTTTGCTCAGAAAGTGAATCAAAATTTGAGACCTTTTGTTCTAGAATACGAAATTTCTTAAAAATTTTGTTTTCCATTTACCATCAATTAGCTTATTCTCTCACTTCCCCTAGTTTCTCCCGCTCAAATGAAAACAGGAACAAATTTTGTCATAGATACAGGATTCTTACTTTGTCTTCATTACAGCCCTATGGCTAGGGTGGTTCTTTATAGCTCAACAAGGAAATATACTGTATTCTATATCAGTGGCCCGTTTAAAGTGTACTGGCAGCTGCAATTGACCCTTGTACTTTCTGTTATGTGATAATATTATTGATACTTACTTTCTACTTAAATTCCCTTCAACTTATTTATCACCTAAATTAAATACAGTGCTGTTTCTATTAAGAAAAAAATTTAAAGGCCATTTTAATCATTTTAATCATTTTAATTACCAACCAAATCTAACTTCCCCTTCTCATTTTATACTAAACCTATTCTACCTGCAGTGCTTCACAAGTCTCTTATAGCCCTTATTTTGGCATTAATGTATTCTAACAGTAAAATTCTTTTGTTCTCTGTAAGCCTTCTTTACCTAAATATCATCGGCCAAAATTAATTCAAGAGAATTTGACGAGTAACTTTAAAAAAGGGTCATTGGGGACCCCACTCATATATGAAGACTGACAAATAATATATTCCCTGTCAATCTGGAATTATGAGTCAACCATGTTGTTTAAAGGATCCCTGTCTGATCAGATTTAGAAGTACAGAGAGAGAAAAAAGCCAGGCACAAAATATGAACAACTGAAAATTGTTGCCTTCTTTTTTAGTTTCCATTCAGTGTTTAGAAAGTGTTTATGGCATAGACAGAGGTGATTCTTCACAAGTGGAGAAACTCAAGTTTGATAAACCACTAGAGGAGATATTTGAAAGTGCAGTAAAGGTTTGTGTTTTATTGGAAGATTTTTCCTGTAATCTTTGACATGCACATGTAGGGTTTATTTTAGTTTTCCACTATGATGTCACTAAGAATAAAATTGGAGATAATGACATTTTTATTTCAGTGTTACTTCCATGTTATTTTCCAGAGTATAGGGGGATCCACATCTGCTCAGTCTACTGAAGAAAATCGATTAAAAGCTGAAAATCTCAAGACAGAAGGTAGGTTAATTTTATAATGTCTATAGATATGTTGAATTTTCAAGTTTGTCCACTGATTAGTATTACATAAGTTTGTAAGCATATCTGATTATACCCTGCAGCAGAGGCTACATTTTCGCTGTGTGAGCTGTCGTGCGAAAGTAGCCTCTGCCGACAACCGTTCAAATCCGTCTAGAAATCTGGACGAATAAATTAAAAAAAAGGGTTTTTTCCTGTTCTTGACCAGCTTAATTATTGCATGAGTCTTGTGTGAGTCTTGTGTAGCAGATCAGAGTTGTCGCATTTTTTTTATTCCCACAAATCTCGTGCCATTTGACAACAGGCCTGACGATTAATTTTGTTTGCAAATCGCTTGACGAATTTACGGTGGCCCAGAAGGATCACACATGCAAATCAAAAATGTTGCTGCAAATTAAAAATAGGACATGCAAATTAAAAATTTTACATGCAAACTAAAAATATTACAAACATGAATGGGCCGACGGCTGTAAGGCCAGGTCGCACGGCTCGGACCAGGTCCTCATCACTCATACTGAGCGCGCAGGACTTTTCATTTTTAATTTGCATCGATATGTTTTCTATTTTCAATTTGCAGCACAATTTTTAGTTTGCATGTACTATATTTAATTTGCAGGTAATATTTTTAGTTTGCATGTACAATTTTTAATTTGCATACATGTACTATTTTTAATTTGCAGCAACATTTTTAATTTTGCATGTGTGACCCTTCTGGGCCACCGTACGAATTTCACGCATGCACAATACAAAAGTGAATGGTTGTCGGCAGATGCTACTTTTTGCATGATAGATCACACAGCAAAAATGAAGCCTCTGCTCGCAGGGTACTCTGATTAAGCTGGTGCAGAAAAAGTTTGATGCTCTTGCTTGCACCTTGAAAGCATATTGTCTTCATAGGAAACCAGCTGATGAAAGACGAGAAGTATGAAGAGGCTATAAAGTGTTACACCAAAGCAATGGAACTGGACAGTACTAATGCAGTGTTTCCTTGCAACAGGTTTGATTTTAGTTGTTTGTTACCCATCCTGTTTATACATGTACTTGGATAAATTAACATACATGTAGATTTTGACGCATTATTAGAGAAGGCAGCATGGCTAAGCAATTAGAGTTATTTAGAAGTGCTGCATTTGTGATTCAGAGGCCCCAGGTTCAAGTCTTACACTGACAACTAGTTGGATTTGTTTGTTGTAGTCTTCGAGCTCAAATCGTTGGCCATGCTTGGAAAATAGCCAACTGTTTTGCTCCTACCAGTTGGGATTTTTAACCATGTTATATAACTTTAAATTATTTGTTTCATTATCCCTAAAAAGCCCCATAAGGGGGAAGGACAATTAAAGTGAATGAATGAATGAAGAGTCATGTGTGAGAGGACAACAGATGTACCCTCTTTCGATACATTTTAACATGTGAACAGTAAGTTCAGACGTCAGCATACAAAGACGCCACTGGCAACCGCTCTCAGTGCATTTATGAGCTTATTGTACCCACATAACCCATGATGTGAATGATGCGATGTGTGAAGATTGACCACAACACTGGGGTCTATGTCCCCTACTCTTTTCGAACAGTGGTGTGGGTTCTTTTACGTCCCACAATAACCAGATAAGTGTAAGTGTTGTGAGATGGAACCTACGGTTTTTTGTCCTTATCCGAGAAGACTAGAAAGTCTAACGGTTTACAGATGTCATTACAAAGGCAGCACTTTGTTCTCAGCTATTTAAAGACCCTGAGTGTTGGCCTGGCCGGGACTCAAACCTGTGACCTCACACTCATCAGACCTGCGCTCTCCCAACTGAGCCAACCAGGCGGCGATAGTATTACTATCATTATCCTTATTATTATTATTATGTAAAATTTAGCACAGGGATCTTCCCTGGGGAGAAATATCCAGTCAAGTCTCATCCCAAGACCTCAGACTTCCAGCACCTTTCTGAGGATATGTGCCAATCCGAGGAGTGCCGACTTTTGCATCGTTCTTGTTCGGTTTTTAATTCCTAGTTGCTCCATGTGGCCTGCCAGCTTCTTTGACACTGAACCCAATGCACCTACAACCACTGGCACCAATTTTGTCCTTGATTTTCTAGATCCTTTAAATCTCTCTTGCCAGGTCTTGGTACTTTTCACACTTTTCAGTTTCTTTCTGCAGAATATTACTATCTCCGGGAACAGCTATTATTATTATTATTATTATTATTATTATTATTATTATTATTATTATTATTATTATTATTATTATTATTTTACAGTAGTTGTTGTGGTTTACTTTTTGCAGGGCTGCAGCTCACAGCAAAAAGGGTGATCATCAAAAGGCCATAGAAGACTGTCAGAAAGCTCTTACTTTAGATCCAAACTATGGAAAAGCTTACGGACGAATGGGGTAAGTGGCTTTAGCACCACAAAAAACAGGACACAAATTTGAAAATCTGTCCTCTACTGTAGCACTAATGCCAGCTTTTAAAAATATATTATGCTTGCTGGTAGCCTAAGCTAGGCTCTCAGGCAGGGCATAGAAGTCGAAAAAAGTGAGTAGCAAAAATCCCAGCAAATCAGAAACAGTGGAAAGAGAGAAGGGGATGGCCTCTTTGCATTATTTTAAATACCTCAGTCTGCCCACTGTGCTACTCAGTTCCAGAGAAACCATTTCTCCTGTCATGGAAAAATTCCAGTGATCTGAAGGATTATGGTGATCAGATTGATTATATGGAAACCAACATTTAAAACAGGAGTGACTTCCATTGATCTCAGAGTTTGTTTTGATAAAGCACTTAGATTAATATGTTCATCAGAGAGTTGTTTTCATAAAGACCTCTAAATGCTGCAATGTCTGCACTTCTTCGTCAGTCTTCTGAGCAATCATGGAGCTCACAATATGAAAATCATCCTTTAAATGTACACATATT